ACGTCGACAAAACGTTGACGTTTGTGATTAGTGATTGAATAATTATTAAATCGCTACATGTATTGGAAAATTTAATAAAGAAATCTAATGGTTTCTCCGAGGAATGGGAACGGAAATTCTATTGAAATTCTTTGGGAAATTCTGCTGGTTTTTTGCGTTGATTTCGGTTTAAAATTATGAAATTTTAAACATGAATATTTTTTCAATGGATATCAGTCTAACTTATTCTTTTAGCGCTTTTCCTATAACAATTCTCTACTTTTCGGAATTACTTTTCCTAGATTTTGTCATGAGAAATTCAAAAAAAAGAGAAAATAAAACGGAGAATTTGTCCCCAATAATTTCTATTAATTTTTCTATCCAAAAATTCTCAATAAAATAATAATAATAATTTAAATAGGATTCTTTAGATAATTTCAATAAAACTCCAATAGAATTTTATAGACTTCCATTGGTAATTATAATTGATTTTTGTATAAAAAGGGGGTTTTATATTCAATTTTTCTCGTGTACGATAATATTTTCATCAAAGAGAATTTTTTAAAGTACAAAATATATTTTCTTACATCTCAGAATTCCTTATTATTCAAATAATTATGAAAGCAACTACAATATTATGCCTCAATTCAGTAAGATAACGCTCGAATTGATAAAATTTCCGTACAAAATCATGAAATCCCAGATCAGTTTAAAAAAACGTCTGGGATGATGTCCTTAAAGTGTGAAATGTCAACAGATTTGATTCATAATCCGTAAAATTTTCTACAAAAAAAATAAAATTGTTTTATGAATGAATGAAATGCACTTACCCCTTCGAAATATTTGAAATAGAAACAATAGTTTTGTTTTTGCCCGGCTGTGGCACCTCATTGGTGCTCTGAAGCTTGAGAATTTTGGCTTCGGAAGGTCCCTTGCTCACATTGTTGGTCAGGACGGTCGCAGGCCTCTTGCGGGGTTTCGCAACAGGAGTCGGAGGTGTGAAAATACCGCGGACAATCACCACCTGCTGCGGTTGGCTCCTAAAGCGATTAAAATTGAAGGTTTAACATGTGCGATGTTGATATTAAGGATGTTCGACACCGTTTTAGCCAAAATTGACGTTGTTTTCATTTTTCTGGCAAATTATCGATGGGAGTGACGTGAAAAAATATAACGATTTTGTGGTTTGTCATTCTTTAATGGCTCACGAAGTTGCGTAGTGGTGCGATAATTTTCATGCGTTTTTTCTACAGTTTTGTGATTCTTTTTAAAAGTTTAGAGAAAACGCAGGAAAATGTTCGCACCACCTTAAAATTTCGTCAATCATTAAATAATGACAAAACGCAAAAACGTTATATTTTTTCACGTCAATTCCATCATAAGTTTGCCAGAAAAATAAAAAAAACATGAATTTTGGCAGAAAGGGTGTAGAACATCCTTAATGAGAACATGAGGAAGCTTACGGCTCTGGGGCAGGAGGCTGGGGAGTGGGATAACCCAGATGAAGAGTGGGAACTGAATCTGGAATCAGAGATCTCGCTCTCATGGGAACATAATTGTACATCTCTGTTCTCCAGTCCTTGCGGAGACATTTCTCCTCGAAGTGACGAGAACAAACTCTTGCTGAAATCGTGAAGATTGAATGATTGAATGATTTACGTGAGGAATAAAAATAAGAAGAGAAAATATTGCATTTTGAGGATGAGAAAACATGTGATTCACATGAATGCAAAAATTTAATGGAAAACTTGACGCGTTTGCTAGTAAATTCTATTGGATTTCTCATTCTATTACAATTTGATGAAAATTATTATAGAATCTTATTGAAAATTAGGGGAGGGTGGGGTAAAACGGACACTTTAGACTTTTGTTTAACTATTCATAACTCAGAAACAAATAGATCAATTGAGCTCAATTTAGACTCGCCACAAAGAGAAAGAATTGTTCTTTTTATTGAAAAAAAAATTATTGAATTTTATCATCATTTCAACCCCTCATTAACATCTTAAAAAAAGTCAAGTGTCCGTTTTACCCCAACCTCCCCTATACAAATATGCTGTGATTTTTCAAAAATAGGTGATATAATACGTAAACACTTCGGAAATGGATCATTTCAGGAAACTACACTAAAATTAGTGGAAAATTTCATTTTTTTAATAAATGAGTTTAGTTATTGTTGCTAATAAATTTGCAAATGGCTTCCGAATGGATTTTCTTTTTTAAAATTCTTTTTCCACCCCCATCATATTCTGATAGAATCAAGAGGGTATTGTTGTCAATTTTTTGAGCAATGACTATTTCCACTTTGATAAAAAGTTGAGTGATTGTTGAAAAATCAATTGAACGGCCCGGCTGGATTATCCTTCGAACGTTATCTCGAATGTTTTTCCATCTTCATAATCTAAAATATATCCAAATTTCCATTGGATTTGATTAGATACATCAAATTATTAATTTGCAATTTCCTCCCTATTGACCTAATTTCCCAAGATCATTTAAAAACGCTCTTTGAAAATATCCAGCTTTTTTTCAGTTTTTTTCATTGTACAATCATAATTTTTGGAGACTCCAGGGCTATGTAAAACTGAATAGCAATTGAAGATCATTTCAGATGATCAAAATATAAAAATCAACCAAGATCACGTTCGAAAGATAAACCACCCGGGCCTTCAATTGATATTGTTATTTCTTTCGATCCGGAATTATGCGACCGACATCAGTGAGCCCTAACCATTATTGCAGGAGTCAATGATGAACATTAATTAATAAGCCATTGAATTTGGAAAGTAAAATTGAATAAGAACAAAGGGGGATTGTTTCTTACCATTCTTGACATTGACATTGTCATTTTCTTTCTTGAGCGCTTTCAACCACTTCTCCTGCATCTCCTTCTCCCGAGGAAACGAGAAGAACCGAACCCTTATGCCATTTTCCTCGGATTTTTTCGAGGAACATGAACCACATCTGCGTACAATACACGTAGGCATTTTTCCCTACTTCAAACTCTTTTTATAACATTTATGGGTGGACTTTACTGACGAGAATTAAGTAATATCGAGGCACTCGTCATTCCCTCCAATTCCCTTTGGCCGTATCGTCAAGAAATCAACGGTGTTTTTCTTTCCAAAACTCAAGGTGGATTTTCAATCGCCGACATGCGCGTGCGAGAGGGAAAGTAAAGGGCGGGAGAATTCAGAATTAGGAGAGGTTGGGGTAAAACGGACTTTTGACTTTTTTTAAAATGTTAATGAGGAGTTGAAATGTTGATAAAATTTAAGAATTCTTTTTTTCAATACAAAGAACAATTCTTTTCCTTTGTGATGAGTCTAAACTGAGCTCAATTGATCAATTTGTTTCTGAGTTATGAATAATTGAAAGAAATATTAAATATTAAAAAAAACAAATTAAAGGAAAACAAGTAGAAAAAAATTAATGAAAGGAAACGAGGAGAAAAAAATTTCTTGCGAAAAAGATCTCTAAATATTGACATAAATCCTTATTTACTGAAGATGAACGAAACGTGAAGCTGTTTTATATCGAAATATCTCGAAACTGCCTGGCCGCTAATCCTTAATTCTGATTGGTCAATATGTGACACACGAAGTTATTCACAAAAAAAACACGCGGCATTTTCAAATTCTTCAGTGACATAATTTCAAATTCTTCAGAGGTAAATTGTTTTTTCACGTCATATATATATAATATATATATTTCACATGTATATATATTATCGGTGAAATTAATAAATTCTGTCCTCTTATGGAGACCGATTATTAAAAAAAATTAAAGATAATTAATTGAAAATGAAAAATTCTTTAGATTCTTTTACTCTTCATGAACGAAACGTGAAGTTGTTTTATATCGAAATACTCGAAACTGCCTGACCGCTAATTCTTAATTCTGATTGGTCAATATGTGACACGAAGTTATTCACAAAAAAAAATTTAGTAATCTTCGCTTCTTCGCTATTCACTTCAATCCTTAGTCGAATTCTCTTTGATAAATTATCAATATTTATAAGGTATTCATGAGAAAATGAAATTCAATGAATTCCATTTCTTCATTTCAACAAATGAATAGATCAGCGCGCGCAAGAGCGCGCGCATAGATCTTGTATTTATCAATATTTAAAAGATGATTTGGCTTCAACAAAATGTAAAAATGAACTTAAAAAATGGAGTCAAAAAAATTCATACAAAAAATATCTCTCAATATTAATCAACATTTTCAAAGATGACTTACCTTCAACAAAACGTAAAAATGCACTTATTTTGCTACTTTCCATTCTTTTATTTGATATAGGGGAGATTGGGGTAAAACAGACACTTTTGACTTTTTTAAAAATGTTAATGAGGGGTTGAAATGTTGATAAAATTTAAGAATTCTTTTTTTAAATACAAAGAACAATTCTTTTCCTTTGTGACGAGTCTAAACTGAGCTCAATTGATCAATTTGTTTCTGAGTTATGGATAATTTTAAAAAAGTCTAAAGTGTGCGTTTTACCCCACCCTCCCTATATCCAAACTCCACGTAAGTAGTTGAGTGTAGCAAGGTAAAATAAATTTAAAATGCCCGCAAAAAAATTCTTCATCATTGATAATTTCTTGCATGAATTCTAACATTCGCGAAAGTCAAAAATTAATTCAACAAGTTCTCTCTACAATCATTTTCTTATGCAATTGTTGCTCGTTTGATCAGGGCATCCTATACATTCGAGATACCCAGAAACATGAATTATTTATCACAAAAGTTTGATACTGACGATAATTTTCATATTAGGCATAAAATTTGTATTTATTTTTTCTGATTTTTTTCTATATTTTAATCTTCTCTCTAATCTTGAAAAAAAAGGATTTTAGTCAATGTTTTAGTTTATAAAAGCAGCTGATTATCATTTTCTTTATTTTTGTTTGTTCTTATTATCTTGAGTCCATCAGAAAAAACTTCGGGCCATCGAAAAAAATTCTTCTCTTTATTTCAACTAATTAATTAGTTACATAAAAGTGATGATGATATGGAAAGATAATATTAGTATTTTTCATTACACATCTTATCAAAAAGTATTAGAAAACGGCAATATTTCATATTTTTTAGAATTCTGAATATAATAGTAGAATATAAAGGCACACCAGCAGACAATTAGTGTATCTTCTTTGTCAGCAGATCTCACGTTTTTGGTTCTTTGCCTTGCACACTGATAGAGCGAAGTAATTCCCTGAATATTGCAGGATCTGAGAGTTTCTCGAAGCCTTCTGTTTCCACCACCTCCTGTAGATGTTCTCTAATAAACTTGATTACATGCTCTTTCAACACCTCAGCGTCATATAGATCAGCAAGTACCAAGGTCTCCGCAGCATTATCATTATCAAGAAAACTATACATATTATCCACGCACATGGTTTTTAACCCGCTCAAATCATATTTCTCTGCTGCCTCCAATAATCCACCGACTAGATCTCGAAGATCTGTCACTTCACCTGTATAGATATACTCCAACATTCCTTTAACAACCCTCGAATCCATATTCTCAATCTTCACCTCCTTCTTAAGATTTTCCTCCATCTCTTTGTGTTTGAACATAGCTGCGAACACCGGGCTTCGAGCAGTCAAGATACTCTTGTGTGCCAAGAATTTTTCATCTCCTACGATAATACTAACATCACTGAATTCGGGGTCGGCAAAGAGACCGCGGAAATCTGTACCCAATTGGCGTATCTGCAATATACCTGGTCCTGTAGAAATTTCATGAGCTGACGATGTGACAGTATTGCTGAAGATGGTCATGTCACAACGTATAGTCGTTGTAGAATCAGAATCTTGAGAAGTTATGAAACTTGATCTCTTCATAAAGTTCGAAAAACCCCAAGCTGTCAACTGATTCCACTGCATTGTACAATCATGTTCACATACAACTTTATTCGGCTTGAGAATCGTAATTGTAAACTTCGTAGTGAATCCAAATTCCTGAGATGATACGAGTTGTAGATAAAGCTGTACGTAATCCCTAATCTTTTCGTTTTGACCACCGGGATAGATGAGCAGTTTCCATTCTTGTTCACCACCTCCCGAGAAGAACTTGGGTGACAACATCTTTTCTCCAACTTTTTTATCAAGAAATTGAACATCTGGTATTGTCCACATGTATGTAATTTGTTGTATGCTGTTCTGTGTACGAGACCACTGTTCTGTCGTCGAACTGTCCATATTTGATTGTACTGACATTCTAATGGCTTTGTAAGGTAGTCTTCTTCTATTCGTTGTGGTTTTCAATGGTTATATTCTCAACTCTAAGAGAGAGAAGCAAGCACTATTATTCTCCGAAAGAAAAATTTATTGAAAAATATTACCAATGTTCAACTGATCAGAAAACAGACGGCAAATTCGCAATCGGAACGTAGATGTGGGAGCCACCAAGTGGCCTCTAAACCAACTACTTTTGGGCGGTAACCAATGAGATCCCTCCGAGGGAACCAATGATGGAGCTCAACCAATGAGATGACTGGATTCTCTTTGATCTCATACCATTCGGCTGGTGCCATGTAACCGACCGTAATGGTTGGGTGAGTTAGATGTTGCCCCGGCGGACATCCGAGTGCAGCTGCGAATGCAGATGAAAGCAGATGAATATTCTTCTGCATATGACCTCGAAGAAACTCCAATAATAATTATTAACATTTGGAATTATTCCAATTTTCTTTACCTGAGGAAATCGCCAATTTGTAAAATCCGGAAGATATCGGAGAACATTTTGTCAAGGTCATATGTAGCATAATAATCAGATTGTTCAACATCACTGTAATTTTTGAGGATAGACTTGGACTCTCTGAAAATGACTGTTCTGGAAAAATTCGTTCTGAAAAAATATTATCTTCTGACGAGAATATCAATCCTTGGCAGGAATAATTTTTCCTCTCAGTGTACCAACAAATCTAATTCCTAAATCCTGAAACGTCCCGTAGAGGGATAACGGCCGAATAGCCAATGCAGCGGGAGCCATAAGAAAGAAGAAGAAGAAGGCTGGTGCATGCATGAATCAGCACATGTCCATTCATTGTGCTTTCTTTCCTTTCCAAATTTGCTACAAATTAACTATTCATTCATAATTACTTTCATTGTACTATAGATGATTGGTGAAAACAATGTGTCTCCATTCATCACCTGTTCAATTTTCATATTTTAATAGGTAATTCGCTATTTAAGAAATTTTCACAAAACTGAAACAGATGGCAGCAGGGGGTTACCCACTTCATTTACCAAAGGCATTGAACAAAGAAGGTCAGATGCATGCTATTCTTGTCTGATCCATTGGAAAGTGGGTAGCCACTTGGCGCCATTAGTTCATGAATTGGCCGAAAAACTGCCCAATTGGGAAATTCCTATGCTCATTGGTTAAGGATAACCGAGGTCTTATGGAATTCCCAATTTTAACTGAAATGAATTGGGCAAGATATTTCAATTAATTGATTCCGAAAATATTTACGATACTTATTTCTTGACTATTTTTTACTATCATTTCTTGAGTTTGAAGCAATGAACAATATGCTCACCTTTTCATCTTCAATCATGAAAAACTGCCTTGTGCTATTTGATACCCCCATGAATTCAAGGGGGCATCAAATAGTACGTCCCACGAGGGGGGGGGGGTTCNAAATTCCTATGCTCATTGGTTAAGGATAACCGAGGTCTTATGGAATTCCCAATTTTAACTGAAATGAATTGGGCAAGATATTTCAATTAATTGATTCCGAAAATATTTACGATACTTATTTCTTGACTATTTTTTACTATCATTTCTTGAGTTTGAAGCAATGAACAATATGCTCACCTTTTCATCTTCAATCATGAAAAACTGCCTTGTACTATTTGATACCCCCATGAATTCATGGGGGTATCAAATAGTACGTCACACGCGGGGGGGGGTTCTTCAGTTTTTGACCGTTTAAGACAAAGGGGGGAGGGATTTCTTAAATTGTGATGTCATACCATATTTTTTCCATTCCCTAATCGAAAAAATTCATCTATTCCGTTCTGTTCTCACATAAAAAAAGAGGTTTCACCAGTTCTTTGAACTTGGTCTCGAGAAGATGTAAGAGGATTTTCAGAATGTTGTGATAACGATGTAATGTTACGAAATTTCGAAAGGACATCGCATAAAGATTTCATTATTTACCTCATCTTTGCCTTTTTCCCCTCATTCTTATTTACAAAATTGAGTTTTACAACCGAAAAAAATTCTTAAACTTCACTCTGCCAATCTCGAGTAATTGACAATTAAAAATAATTCTAGCCCTTCTTCTGCTCCCCTGAACCCTACTATAGTTTCAAGGAAAATTAAGGGAAATTAATGCCACAATAATCATCAAGGGAATAAAAATGATCAAGAAATCGATACACAATATATGAGAACAGATCTATACGAACATTTCGGTCGATAGGACACATTGTATCTGTTAACACATGTATTTATCAAAAAGAGAACAAAATATCTTACATTTTCCGTTTTTTAAAAATAATTCTGTATATACAGAGGTATTACGACTATGCATAGTGTAGTCTAATATATATGAAAACATACCAACAATTATCTCCTGAGACAATTATCCACTCATTGAGCAAATTAACTCTCTCAACAGCGCCGAATCTGACAATTTCTTGAAACCTTCTGTTTTCACCACCTCCTGGAGATGTTCCTTAATGAATTTGATTGCGTACTGTTTCAATTTATCACCACGATATCGATCAGCGAGTATCAAAGTCTCCGCAGAATTGTCATTGTTGACGAGACTACACAAAGTATCCAAGCACATAGCTTTCAACCCACTCAAATCGTATCTCTCAGCTGCCTCCAACAATCCATGTACAATATCTTGAACATTTGTCACTTCACCTGTGTAGATGTACTCCAACATTCCTTTAACAACCTTCGAATCCATGTTCTCAATCTTGACCTCGTTAGTACGATTTTCCTCCATCTCTTCGTGTTTGAACATGGCTGCGAACATGGAGCTTCGAGCAGTCAAGATGTTCTTGTGTGCCGAGAATTTTTCATCTCCTGCCATAATGCTGACATCACTGAACTGGGGATTGGTGAACAGACGACGAAAATCTTCTCCCAAATGGCGTTTTTTAGCATCTAGTGATAGGCTCGGTTCCCTGGACATGCCATCAGATGATCGCTGCTGTATCGTTGGAATATCACTAGAGACAGTCATATCACAGCGTATAGTGATTGTACCATCAGATTTTTGAAAAGGCATCAAAATTGATCTCTTCGTAAACGGCGAAAATCCCCAATTTTCCAACTGACTCCACTGCTTCGTACAATTACGTTCATATACTTTATTCGAGTCGAGAATCGCAAGTTTATAGTTCGTAGTGAATTCAAATTTCTGAGATGACACAAGAACTAGGAAAAGGCCTACGGTATCCGCCGTCGCGTAATATCTACCAACGGGGAAAATGAGCAGTTTCCACTCTTGTTCACCACCTCCCGAGTAGAACGAGGGTGACTGGATCCCTTCTCCAACTACTTTAACAACAAGTTGATCATTTGTTATTGTCCACTCGTATATAATGTGATCTTTTCTTGTATATGTATAAGACCACTGTTCTCTCGTCGAAGTGCCAATATTTGATGATGCCATAGTGATGGTCCCCTGAGTCGCTAGTGTGACACCAGAGTTTCGTATTCTTTGTTTTTCGAATTGTTTATTTAGATGACGTTTAATTAGGCCGAATTAATAGGTCGGGATAGGTAGGAACTAAATCGACAATGACTCTGTTGGATATCGGGAGTGTATCAACTGAAATAAATTCGAAAAGATATTTCAACCGGGCCACAATGATTTCTCGATCCCTTTCACTTTCACCTCTTGACCTGGAAATAATGAAAATATTCATTAATTCTTATCTCACTCATCTGTCCATATTCATTCAGATATGTATTGCCTGTGGTTAATTGACGAGGGACTTATTGATCTCTAACTTATTCACGCATTATAATTAATAGGTGAGCTTCAACTACTCAAACGAGTTATTGAAAAATCTAATTACAGTGAGTATAAAAATTAATCGTACACTGACGATTCAGGAAAATAATTTACGTTTTTAGTCACAAGGATTCAGTTTTTTATTGAATAATAAATTTTTATTGATTGTCTATACCTAAAAGTACAAAATTATGTACGGCCAAATTCTGGGACGAATTATTATTCTGGAAGGAAATTTAGAATGTTTAGCAGCCCACAAATTTAGGATAAAAAAAATCCTAGTATTCACGTTTCATCACAGATAAATGAGTGGTAAAGGAACAGAAACGAGTAAAAGTAAAAGAAAATTAATTATTGAACAATGTAAATCATTATCTGAAATTCTAACTCTCTTAGAATTTTTTTTTTTTTAATGTCAGGCGTTTATTTAAACAGTAAGAAAATCTTCAATCAAGCGCTGCCAAAATGGGTTTAAATAACAATTGGATGTTTGTGCATGATAATGATCTCAAGCATACCGCGTGGAATACCAAGATGTGGATCCTTTACAACACCCCAAAATATCTCAAAACTCCTCCACAGTCACCGGACATTAATCCCATAGAGCACGTATGGGATTATCTCGAAGAAAGGATTCGTCATAGGCAAATTTTTAATAAAAATGATTTAAAAACTGCTCTTTGTGAAGAATGGAGTCTGCCCTGGGCCGTGGGCAAGAGCACCCTTCCGACTGAAATAAAATTATTCAAATACTAAATTGTTTACATTTTTAAAAACGACTCTGTAAAGAAGGCGATCCTACAATATATGGACAAATATCCACTCTTTTGAAGAGTCATTTGGAGAGTGAATTTTTTGAGTTTATACCCTTTCATTAAAATGCTTCCTACACAGGTGTTGCTCTACACAGGAAAAGTTGCTCTTTTATTTTTAACTTTGGGTGTACGATTGCTTTTTATACTCACTGTATGTCTTTTGTGGTCCTTTGATACTCATTATTTATCTCTGGATTGTAACGTGTGAGTCACACGTTACTTTGTAATTGTGAGTCACTGTCACCATTTTCTCTTACTAGCGCCACTCCGGCCGCGGTGTTGAAGCTCTTTCGTTATAGCCTTTTTCACCTGTCAAAGGTCTGTCATTGGTTACCCAAGAGTATCCCTAATCTGTCATTGGTCACGGGCCCCACTGCTTCAATGGCAATCACTGGCCTGTGCCCATTGTTGTGAGACGTTTCAATAAATCTTCCAACAAACAAATAATAAAAAATGGGCAAAAAAAGGAATAGAGAAGCTAACAAAGACGATAATGAGTACGATCCAGCCCCGAAACATCTCCAAGTGGCTCACATAAAGAATCAGGAGAAACGTCTAATAGTTATCCTCGATGGAGCGCAGCTGGAGTCTGTAAAGGTTAGGATACCATGTGTTTTTGTTTACTTTTTGCGGAAATTGATTCTGAACTCAGAATAAAGTGCATTAAGGATGTTCTACACCCTTTCTGCCAAAATTCACGTTTTTTTAATTTTTCTGGCAAACTTATGATGGAATTGACGTGAAAAAATATAACGTTTTTGCGTTTTGTCATTATTTAATGACTGACGAAATTTTAAGGTGGTGCGAACATTTTCCTGCGTTTTCTCTAAACTTTTAAAAAGAATCACAAAACTGTAGAAAAAACGCATGAAAATTATCGCACCACTACGCAACTTCGTGAGCCATTAAAGAATGACAAACCACAAAATCGTTATATTTTTTCACGTCACTCCCATCGATAATTTGCCAGAAAAATGAAAACAACGTCAATTTTGGCTAAAAGGGTGTCGAACATCCTTAAAGTCGAGTCTTCTTTCAGGTGGGAAATAACTTTGAGTTGTTAAATTGTGACGACCACGTGGGCATTCTCAAGAAAAATAACAGGGATCCGGGCAGCTGCAGACCTGATATTGCTCATCAGTGCCTCTTGATGTTGCTTGATAGTCCTCTGAACAGAGCAGGACTTTTGCAGGTTTATATTCATACTGAGAAAAATGTGCTTATTGAAGTCAATCCACAGACGAGGATACCCAGGACTTTCAAACGTTTTGCTGGGCTAATCGGTATTTTCAACCATTTATTCTTTTTAGATTTATTTATTCATTTTTAAGGAACATTTAAATTCCATTCTGGAATTGTCTTCTGGATAGTTCCATGAATTAGAGAAAAAATCTCTCAACATTTTTTGATAAACTCATTTATTTTGAAGATAGTGAGATTAGGGGAGGGTGGGGTAAAACGGACACTTTTGACTTTTTTCTAATTATTCATAACTCAGAAATAAATTGATCAATTGAGCTCAGTTTAGGCTCGTCACAAAGGGAAAGAATTGTTCTTTGTATTGAAAAGAAAAATTAAAGTTTATCGGCATTTCAACCCCTCATTAACATTTTAAAAAAAGTCAAAAGTGTCTGTTTTACCCCAATCTCCCCTATATCAAATAAAAGAATGAAAAGTAGCAAAATAAGTTCATTTTTACGTTTTGTTGAAGGTAAATCATGTTTGAAAATATTGATTAATATTGAGAGATCTTTTTTGTAAGAATTTTTTTGACTCCATTTTTTAAGTTCATTTTTACATTTTGTTGAAGCCAAATCATCTTTTAAATATTGATAAATATTTATGTCAATATTTAGAGGAAACAAATAAAAGGAAAACAAGTAGAAAAAAATTATAAAATTAAATGTCTGTGGGATTAAAATTAGATGGAATTTAAATGTTCCTTAAAAATGAATAAATAAATAAATATTGACATAAATATTTATCAATATTTAGAGATCTTTTTCGTAAGAAATTTTTTTCTTCTTGTTTCCTTTCATTAATTTTTTTCTACTTGTTTTCCTTTTATTTGTTTCTTTTTTTGATATTACAGTGTATACAATGCAATTTCATGGTGACTTATTTTTTCCTCGATGTTTCAGTGCAACTGCTCCACAAATTCAGTGTCAGGGCGTCAGATGGACACATGAAACTCCTGAAAGTCATAAAAAACCCAGTGACCGATCACCTTCCTGTTGGATGCAGAAAATTGGCCATGTCCTTCAGTTCTAAAGTCGTGAAAAATCCTAGAGAACTCGTTCCTGGAGAGGAACCTATCGCCATTGTCGTGGGAGCAATGGCGCATGGACAGGTACATGAAAAAAAAAATTTTGTTACATATACCAAACTTCATATTTATTTTTCAACAATCCGCAAAACCTTAAAACAAAAAAAACTACTGCAGAACTTTTCTGCTGATTTTCATGTAGAGTATTCCATAACATAAAAAAATATCTCGTGATACTTATTTCGAAATCTTATGATATAGAAGGTTTTTGAAAATTGAATTCAGAGATAAGTAAAATCGTAACACAGAATTAAAATTATTTTATTACATACTAAATCGGGTAACTGCATTGTATCATTTTTCAGTTTTTATTAAATTAATTATCAATCAACATTGTCTATTTTTCAAGTATTTTATAAATCAGTAATCAACTCCGCAATAATGATGATTATTAGATTAATTGAAAAATAAAAGTCAGATATTTAGAATTAACTGTTTACTTACAATTGCGAATTGAAAATTATTTTCAAATTTAAATAAAAAAGTAATTGCTATTTTTTAGCAATTTTTGCCGATCCCTAATTGAATTTGAGATAATCAAAAATTGTCTTTTTTCATTCTTTTGTAATTTCAATTCTTGTTTAATTGTATAATTGTTAATTTGTAATTGTTGTTGTCAGTGAGTCAGGATTATCAGTTCCAATAATAAGAATAATAATTTGTTAACAGGTGAAGGCGGACTACACAGAAGACACATTTTCCATCAGTAATTACCCCCTCTCTGGAGCACTGACATGCAGTAAATTATGTTCAGCTTTTGAAGAAGTTTGGAATGTAATTTAGATAACAAATTAATTTTATCATTATAATATTTTGTATATTCTATTTTATTGAATCCAATAAATTTTTAAAATACAAAGCTAAATTCTTATTCACTTGACTGGCAGTCACGTGTGTGAGTTTCTGCATGTGTCATTATGTTTTGGAGGCCATGTTGGTGCACATGACATGATTTAGGTTAAATTTTCCTTCTGCAGGCGTCTGCAGCACCGATATTTCCATCGAAAACAACAGGGAAATAAAGTGATTGTTTTTGCATTTATTGGATAATTCATCAATCTGGTTATCATGGTGCTGTTGGGAGAGAAATTCCCGAATTTCGATGCTAATACGAACGTGGGGAAGATCAATCTCCATGAGTGGCTGGGGAACTCGTACGTCCAGAAAAATTTTTAAGAATAATTCTTCATATTTTGATGTTATTGTTGATCAGTTATCGATGATTGAAGGATTTTTTCTTTCGTTTTTTTAATAGATGGGGAATACTATTCTCTCATCCACATGATTTCACGCCAGTCTGCACTACTGAATTGGCAAGAGTTGTCAAGCTGATGCCAGAATTTCAGAGACTCGGTGTCAAACCCATTGCTTTGTCCTGTAATTCAGTGGATTCACACGTTGAATGGATCAAGGTAGAATTTATTATGATTATGTCGATGAGATTGATGATTTATTTTTGTTATAGGGGTCGAGGGAGCAAATGGACACTAGATTTTTTTGTGTTAAGGCCCGGGTGTCAATCCAAAATTGTCAATTGAGTGGTACATCATGTAGAAATTCCCAAAAATTATGATAGAATAATAAAAAAAAATTGTTCAATTTTTCATTGGTCTCGCAGATGAGTTTAGGAACAAACGTTACAAGACTGTTTTTTTGGGGGACTTAAGGCCCGGGTGTACTATCTTTCGAATGTTATCTGGATTTTTTTAATTTTTCGCAATCCAAAATTGTCAATTGAGTGGTACATCATGTAGAAATTCCCAAAAATTATGATAGAATAATAAAAAAAAATTGTTCAATTTTTCATTGGTCTCGCAGATGAGTTTAGGAACAAACGTTACAAGACTGTTTTTTTGGGGGACTTAAGGCCCGGGTGTACTATCTTTCGAATGTTATCTGGATTTTTTTAATTTTTCGCAATCCAAAATTGTCAATTGAGTGGTACATCATGTAGAAATTCCCAAAAATTATGATAGAATGATAAAAAAAATAGAAAAAATTCTGAACTTTTTCAAAGAGCGTTTTTAATTGAGATTCAGAATGAGTTGAAAAAAGTGGAAATTACAAATATCTGATTCGCTGTGGCAAATTATCTATTAGCTGTCATCTAGGTGAAGAGAGGAAGTGACAGCTAGGTATCTCAATTTTCAAAACAGTGGTATGTAGTCGTCTGCCATTTTTATGTGATAAAAGTGTGATTAAAAAATTCTCCAAAATATTACAACTTTTTTCAAAGAGCCTTTTCCGTAATAAATGTCGTCTGTGCAGTGTGGGAAAAGATTTACGAAATCAGTCTTCCCCCTGCATGATATTGGGTGACAAGCCGCCATTTGTCACTGTAAATCAGATACATTTTTCAATTCCTTCTTATTCAACTTATTCTGAATATAAATTAAAAATGCTCTTTGAAAAAATTAAGAATTTCTTCTACTTTTTCTCTACTATTCATTCATAATTTTTCAAAACTTCTGCATGATGCAGGACTTAATTGACAATTTCAGATGACGAAAGATGAAAAAAAACATCGAGATATCGTTCGGAAGATAGTACACCCGGGCCTTAAAGCCTCATTCAATTTTTGATGAAGTAGAATATATTTTTTTCCGTGAAGAATACTTCTTCCTCTTTGTAATGAGCCTGAACTGAGCTCAAGTGATTAATTTATTCCTGAGTTATGAGGATTAAAAAAATGTCTCGAGCATCCGTTTTGCCCCACTTTCCCTTACTCCACTCCAATTAGTTGATCAAGTAACTAAGTGGAAAAACAGATGAGGGAATTCTGATTGAAGAACCATTTTCGTTAGATGACTTGAAATATTTTTGAGAGACAAGTAAGGTCAACAATTGCATTTTTTGAGGATTGATTCATATTTGGAATGGATCAAAGTAGAATTTGTTACGATTCTTTCCATGAGATTAGCGATTTATATTTATTATATTCCACTCTAATCATTTTGATTTGCCAAAGAATAAAAAAAAAGACTGAATTCTAATTCGAAAATAGATTTCGTCAAATATCTTTGGTAGAGACGAGTAAAATCAACAATTAAAAATTAAAAATGACTATATTCATAAAACCATCCCCTTCAAGTTAGTTCCATTCGTCTTGTTGTCTCAGTTCACAAATGAAAAATGAAATGATCTCACCAGTCAATAATTTTAAAGGACATCCTTTTATAATTGTTCAATTATCTCGATTTATTGCTCAATTTCAAATAAAAAACAAAATAATGATGAGATTAATGAATATTTCATGTGATTAAGGACATCAAGAGTTATGCTCGTGTCTCCATGGATGGTTTCCCCTACCCCATAATTGAAGATGAATCTCGTAAGATTGCCACAAGCCTCGGTATGCTGGACTCCGATGAGAAAGATCAGAATGGAATTCCCCTTTCTGCCAGAGCTGTCTTCATCATTGATCCAACGAAGAAGATGAGACTCTCGATTCTGTATCCTGCCACCACTGGACGAAATTTCAAGTAACTGTTCAAATCATTCTCTCTCAGGCATTCATTCATGTGTAATTACATCGTTTTTATTTTTTATTGCAGCGAAATCATCAGAGTTATCGAGTCCCTGCAATTGACTGATCAGTACAAAGTTGCAACTCCTGTTGATTGGAAGGTTGGTTTTCTAAAAATCAATTCATTCCTCAAGACAAATTCTTCTTTTAGGGATGTTCGACACCCTTTTAGCCAAAATTGACGTTGTTTTCATTTTTCTGGCAAATTATCGATGGGAGTGACGTGAAAAAATATAACGATTTTGTGGTTTGTCATTCTTTAATGGCTCACGAAGTTGCGTAGTGGTGCGATAATTTTCATGCGTTTTTTCTACAGTTTTGTGATTCTTTTTAAAAGTTTAGAGAAAACGCAGGAAAATGTTCGCACCACCTTAAAATTTCGTCAGTCATTAAATAATGACAAAACGCAAAAACGTTATATTTTTTCACGTCGATTCCATCATAAGTTTGCCAGAAAAATTTAAAAAACGTGAATTTTGGCAGAAAGGGTGTAGAACATCCTTAAGGATGTCCAAGGACTTTGACTATTTTTCCATCGATGACATGCTTTTATACTTTTGTAACATTTAGAGTTTTCGAACATTTTACAACGATTTTATTATTCAAATTTTGCAGGTCTCATTTCGAATCTCGATATCGAACTGTTAGAAAACATTTTAAAAGTCTGAAAAAAATGAGAAAGTTTACTTTTGGAGGAAGATTGATAAAATAATTTGAAAATTTCAATTTTTGAAAATTACGAGCATTTTCTATGAATAATTCAGAAACAATCAATTTTCCACCATAAAAATCAGCACTTTGGGATCGTAACAAATTTATTCATATTTAGAATTTTACCAGAAATCGATTTCATGCCCTGAAAAAATGAGGTTTCCGAAAGTTTAAACAATTTCAATTATTTCTTTATAAACAACGAATTAAAAAAAAGTCTGGGTAAAATATAATTTGAGTGACACTTAATATTCATGATGTGACGTGTGGTCTGTCCCAACTGTATAAGATACTTGGATATCCTTAAAATTAGTAAAACAACAATTTTGATAAAACCATGAATGAAAAATCCGTTCAACCAATTTAGTTTTCAATTATGAGGAGATAAAATGATTGGAGAAATGTCGATAAAAGTTGTTTGCGGTAGTGAAGAAAATTTTAACAAATAAAATGTTCCACATTTTCTTCGATCATCCATAATCAATCGAATATTTTTATAATTCCTGAGGTGTGTCCACTGATTTTTTAGATATTTTACGAAACAATTTTTTAATTCGATGAAATTACCTGAAATTCTCTAACGGATCAATAATGAGCCAGTAAAAAGCAATAAGTCAACTACATTATTTTTGTTGAATACAGAATTATAATTAATAATTAATGATTTTATATGTACTATGTTTACTATACTTTGCTGAAAAGATTCTCCGCCAAAAAAATATCTTTGAAATTTAATAGATTTCTTCATCTTCTACTACCAAATTTCTAAAAAGAAACCTCAAATCAATTCAACTCCAGACTTTTTACAATCATTAAGTTCATTGCGATCATTAAATTAAGAAAAATCCTAATGAACTTCTGTTGAGCATGAAATTACCTCGATGATAAATTACTTTTTAGAGATCTTTCTGCTACTAAGATCCTGTATAAAAAATTGCTTGGCAATTTCTTCTAAAACCCCTCAATATTAAAATAATTCGACATTCAACAACATTTCACGACCGAAATAATGAAAGAGCATGAATCAATTCAGCTCTAAACTCATTTTTAAAGAAAATATTGTGAAATTGATCATAAAAAACATTAGCTTATGCCACTGAACCCTTTCACTCTTGAATTTTAATTACTAAGTTCCCAAAATTGTCTCACATTCTTCAGAAGGGGGAAGACGTAATGGTGCAGCCAACAGTCAGCGACGAGGAAGCCAAGAAGACCTACGCCGACAGTCTCAAGACAATAAAACTGCCCTCAGGAAAGCCCTACCTCCGAATAGTGCCCCACCCCTGTGACCTGACGATGTGATCATCAAGGCCGTCTCATTCCACTGAAAAACTTATTAAAAATCCCTCAATACCAATGTGACCCTAGGATAAAACTCCCAACTATTGTTTACAGAATAAACTCAACTATTTTTACTAATCAACAAAATAAATGACTTTTCAAATAATTTAGTTTTCTCATTCAATATTTAATAATGTTCTTGCAAACAGCTGTAGGAGGATCCATTTATTATTCCAAATCTTCTAATCCCTTTGAAATTTCAAATTGTGCATCAGTTAAGTAGCAAAACGTAGTTAGTCAATTATACTATTTTTGTTGAATACGAAATTATCTTCATAACAAGTGATTTTAGAAAAGAATCGAGAGATGTTTCTTGTTGCTTAGAAGATACTCCAATGAAATTGCCTTTCCATTCGTTTCTGAAAGCATTGAATACCGGAATATTTCAAAATTTTACTGCATTTCACATCAAAATTCGAACACAATATAAATCCAATTTTAAATTAATTTTTTAATGAATATTTCCATATTTAAAAATGGCAAAATTGACTGTAAAAAATGAATTTCTCATTTTACCCCTTCACTTTTGCCTTCCAAATCCCGAGACCCCAATTAATTCTCAAAACTGTCTAATTTTCTTGAGAAAGGAAATCACAAGTTCTAATCTCTTCAATTAATCCATCGTTACTTTTGTTGACAAAAAAATCTTCACAACAAGTGATTTTGGAGAAAGTTCAAGAGATCTTTTGATTACTTAGAAAATAAAAAAAACTTTCTTAACAGTGGAATTGTTTCTTAACATTGTTTCAAGATTTTCTTATATTTCACATATAAATTTCAAAACAATAAATTCAACTTTAGAATGATTTTTTAGTGAATCCCATCTAAAAATGGCAAAATTGGCTCAAAAAAAAAAATTATCTCACTTCCCCCTTCTCTACTGCCTCTAAACTCCTAGACCCAAATTAATTCTCAAAACTGTCTAGTTTTCTTGAGAAAAGAGATAAGTGCTAATCTCTTTAATTAATGCATTGTGTTACTTTTGTGAACAACAAAAATCTTTACAAGTGATTTTGGAATAAGTTCAAGAGATCTTTCTTATTACTTAGAAAAAAAATCTCCTGACATTGCTTTCTGCAACCATTCAATATGGAACTGTTTCAAGATTTTCCTGCATTTCACATAAAAATTTTAAAACAATAAATTCAACTTTAGAATGATTTTTTAGTGAATCCTATCTGAAAATGGCAAAATTGGCTCTAAAAAAAAATTATTTCACTTCCCCCTTCGCTACTGCCTCTAAACTCCTAGACCCCAATTAATTCTCAAAACTGTCTAATTTTCTTAAGAAAGAAAATTACAAGTTCTACTCTCTTCAATTAATACATTATGTTACTTTTGTGAACAACAAAAATCTTTACAAGTGATTTTGGAATAAGTTCAAGAGATCTTTCTTATTACTTAGAAAAAAAAATCTCCTGACATTGCTTTCTGCAACCATTCAATATGGAACTGTTTCAAGATTTTCCTGCATTTCACATAAAAATTCTAAAACAATAAATTCAACTTTAGAATGATTTTTTAGTGAATCCTATCTGAAAATGGCAAAATTGGCTCTAAAAAAAAATTATCTCACTAATTTATTATCTCACTTCCCCTTTGCTACTGCCTCTAAACTCCTAGACCCCAATTAATTCTCAAAACTGTCTAATTTTCTTAAGAAAGAAAATTACAAGTTCTACTCTCTTCAATTAATACATTATGTTACTTTTGTGAACAACAAAAATCTTTACAAGTGATTTTGGAATAAGTTCAAGAGATCTTTCTTATTACTTAGAAAATTAAAAAAAAATTCTCCTGACATTGCTTTCTGCAACCATTCAATGTGGAATTGTTTCAAGATTTTCCTGCATTCCACATAAAAATTCCAAAGCAATGAATTCAACTTTAGAATTATTTTTTAGTGAATCCCATCTGAAAATGGCAAAATTTGCCCTAAAAAAAGAATTTACCTTATTTCATCTTCTATTGCCTGTAAACTCCTAACCCCCAATAAATTCTCACTGCTCCACATTCCACAGAAGGAACAAAAAAACAAGCTCAAAACAGTAAAACCTCCAGGACCTGACCATCTCCCCATAAAAAATCCTTTCATTCCACTAAAAAACCAAAAAAACCCCAATCCCATTGTAACCCCAGGATAAACCCCCCAACTACTTTCACTAATCAATAAAATAAACGACTATTCAAATAATTTAATTTTTCTCATTCAATATTTAATCACGTTCTTGCAAACAACAAAAGAAGCCATTTATTATTTCACCTATTTTGTTTCTCTCATAATTAAAAGTACACTGCATTATATACACTTGTCCAAGTACACGATTATCTCCACCTTCCCCTCAATCGTTTACAATAACTAGGCAGATTGTTGTTTTCCTTTATTATTAACTGCAAATATGTACAAGTTATCTGTTTCATTTCGTTTCACTGTCTTAATCATTGAATTATTCTCATCATAATTAAGTTATTACTATCCGTTAATCAATATTTCATCGTACGGGTTATATTATTATGCATAATAATAATATATAATCATGTTTATAGCAGTATATAAAACAGTCCCTGGTTCAATAAACCAATAAGATCAAAAATAAAAAGTCGATAAGGAAAAAAAAATATTCATAATCATTATAGAATAATAAATTTAACAAAAATTATATCCTCACTTTAACCCTAATTACTTCAATTACTAATCGTTAGGGATTACCACACAATGTATTATACCACAAAATACTATTGCGTTGTATTTAATCAATCTCCCGCTGTACTCACACAATTGTCTGTTTCCCAATAAAACCCACATGTGTCCAGCGTCATCTCGTTAACATCCAATTTGTTTTAAAAATTCACTACCTGAACACGCAGTCCCCAGTGTTTCATCGTAATTTTCACTTGAATATCATTTCAGTTTTCATTAAAAGTCACTTCGATCAATTTATTTACTCAAATAATTTAATGACGTCAAAAGACTGGATGATTTAATTTCACTTCTTCTTGGCTTGAAATTTTTTGTATCACCCATTTCTCTTGCGTCGTGAAGACCTTCCTCACTCATTGGATTGGGCCTCTTCAGCAGCCTGCTGTGCCAGCTGTTCCCCCTCCATCCTGGCCTGTCGTTCAGCAGCAGCTCTAGCCTGTCTGCCAGCACTCGACCTCAGATTCTTCCTCTCAACAGGTGGTTCAACACTCACTCGTTTAGCACCCCTCGATTTTTTCCCAGCAGACTTGGCCTTGGCCTCCTCCTCATGCTCAATACTGGACTTTGTGCTCTCTGATTTAGCATTTGTCGATGGTAACTCCTTGCTCTCCTCAGAATGAGACTCAACAGACTCTTTGTTACTGTTAGATGAAGTGTTTAAAGACGTATTCAGGGGTGTGTTGGACACCTCCTCCTGGGGCTGAGGTGTAGCTTGTCTGGGTGCTGGTGTCGTTGGTGTTGGAGTTGATGCAGGAGTGGGTTGAGGTGTTGATGCTGGTGTTGATGATGGTGTGTGGGATTTAGTGGTCTTTATTGGTGACTCTTCAGCAATGTCACTGAAGGACGAGGTGGAGGGTGCCTTCTGCTCAGGCTCCACTCGACTCTTCTTGACAACAGGCTCCAGGGTGACCTCGAGGCAAGCTGGCACTGGTGTCTCCTGGACAGGCTCAGACGTTCTGCTTCGTTTCTGGGGTCTCTGGGTCTCCTCAATGCTCCTAGTAAACAACTCAGCACTGGTTCTACTCAACTGCTCCAGTGCTTCCTTCATCTCCTGCTCTTTACTCTTTCGCTCGATTCTCGCTGAGAGATCAGCAATGTCAGCGTGCTCAAGTGCCTCTTTCTTCTCAGCCTCACTTCTCCTTCTCTCCTCAGCATGAATGGCGTCTGTGTATGCCTGCAGCGCCAGGGAGGAGTCCATCTGATACCTAGAGGCAGCACTCGACGATTTCTTCTCAGCATCTTTACGTTTCAACATGTCAGCAGTGGACTCTCGTCTAGAACTACTGCTGGTGGACGACGTGGACTTCCTAGACGTCGAGGCAGTCGATGTGGGGGGATTCAACAGTCCACACTGGGCCAGACTCTCATAAGCCGATGAAACACCACCAGGCTGCATCGAGAATGGATTCAATCCCCCAAGACCAAGTGGTGTATAAAGCAGACTTGGATTGGGGAAGAAAAATGGGAATGGTGTTGTAGTGGGTAATGAATTCGACGATGTCGATGGTGCTGATGACTTTGACGTTGGTGGATCCATCTGTTTAGACCTTGATTTACTAGAACTACTGGTGCTCGTTGTTGTCGTCTTACTCGACGAATTAACAACATTAGTATCAGCAGAACTAGTGGCTGCTGCTGATGCACTCAGTGCCTCCATACCCGCCAACGATGGTAAACCAAGGCCAGCAAGATTGGCAAAAAGTGAATTTGTCAAACTCATATTACTGAGATTACCCAAATTCCCAAGACCCCCAAGTGCACCCAAATTAGGTAATCCACCGAATGGCATCAATAGTGGATTGTTCTTTGGATCAAAATTACCCAACGATAACCCTGATAATAATGAATTATTAAGATTACCCAGACCTGGGAAATTGAGCTGTGATGCCATTGATGTTGCTGCTAAATTCTGACTGGTTTGCTGTTGGCTCGTTGGGCTTGGCATCATTGGTGGTCTACCTGGTGTTTTACCTTTGCTACTGCTTCTCTCTTGTCCTGGCAATCTCTTCTGCAAGTCGTGGGGCAAGTTGCCACGTTCCTTCACCAATTCAGCCCACTTTGGATCTACATCGAACATGGGATTCTCCATTAACCACTGGCCAAGACGTTTCAATTGTGGTGCTTTACTGCCAGTTACTTTCTTACCAGTTATTCTGTTAATTACAGCTACATTCTCTTCACCAGTTAGCTTCTTCCAGTCGAGGAGGGATGGATCGACACGTGGACGACGTCGTCTTGGTGCATTCAGATATTCAGCTGACAATTGATCGGACATTGCTGTCTGCTCAGCAAGCCACTTGTTGACTTTGGCCTCGTGTGAGTAGGTACCTATTTTCGATGAGTATTCAGCCACTTTGTTAATATCAGCTATCATCGCCTCGTAACTCTTGCGATGACTGCTCGATGACATGTGGGCGGAGTTGAAGGCCTGCTGTTGCTGCTGCAACTGCTGCTGAAGCTGCTGATTCGATTGGCTCGTGTGGGCCTGGTGGAGCTGCTGTTGCTTCTTCAAATCACGATTCTGCTGTTCAGCTTGTGCCAGCAGTGCTGAGAAACTGTCCTTGTGAGAGTGAAGGGATGGCGGTGGCTGCTGATGACTCGACGATCCTGAAGCTCGTGACGATGGTATTGATGTCACTGTTATCGAGAATGGCTTCTGGGCTGGGGCTGGTGGAGTTGGAAGCCCTATTGGGGCTGATGTTGGGGTCACTGTCACATTCGGGGTTATTGTACTCTTCTTGTTGTGCTCTGGGAAGTGGCTGCCCTGCTGCTCTTTAGCTGCACTCAGACCCAGCACTATCTCGTCCAATTTTCTTCGTTTTTTCTCTTTACCAATGACTGGCTCGTCGATGGGCACATTCTTCCTCTTCATGAGTTTATCCAGCATGCTGTCGAGTTTGCCCTTGTTACTGCTGGGCTGTTTGTTCTTGCTGGGCATCGAGAAGTCCTGCACCTCATTCATGATGTCCTTGTTGGCTTCGTTGGAGGTCTTCATGTACCCAGCAGAGAGATCAATGGGGGTGAGGGTGCTGGAGGTGCCTGGAATGATCGTTGTTTTACCAGGGACTGTGTACTTCAGATCGAATGGAGCTGGATTTCTCGTCTGCTGGTGGGCAGGTGGTGGCTGAGGGGTTGATCTCCTGGAGTCTTCCGACTGTGATTCCTCGGTCAAGTCCCACGAGCCCGACAGCACCGAGGGCTTGCTGAGGGCCTGAGGGGGCTGTGCCATGTGGCTACTGTTCAATAAAGCATGCAGCTTGGCTCTCTCAGTTTCAACGTCAATAGCAATGTGTCTCTTTCGTTTTTTTGAGGAGAGATTGTTGGTGGTGGCTGCCAGGGCCCTCGATACACCGTGATCAGTCGTGATGGTGATGACCTCTGAGTTGTCCTTTTCAGCTGGAATAATCTCCACTTCGTCACCAGCTGTGAAGTTCATCGCCACTGGCCACTCCTTGTGCTCAATTGCGTGGACAATGTGCATCAGTCTAGCCTCAACTGCATGCTCCTTCGGCCATTTAACGGATGAGGGGTAGTTGTGGGAGAGCAGAGGGGGCATCGTTGGCTCTGGATAATCTGACTTGTCTCGAAGGACGAATGTGTCGATCTGGGTTAATCGAGACAGGGGCTGGATCACCTCGAGGTCGGGGAACATCGCCTTCAGCTCTGCTGCCTGGATGCTTCCCTTGTCCTCGATTTTGGGGATTTTTCCTGACTCCTTTTCCATTTTGTCCTCGGGGATCTCTTGGAGTTCCTCTTTTAGGGGAGTCGAGTCCTCTGGCTTGGCCTCAAGGGCTGGGGAATCCTCCGAGATTCTCTCGGGCTTCTCTGGAGGCTTCTCCAGGGATTTCTCGTCAGCCTCTGTTGACTTCTCCTCGACTGAGGGCTTTGCGTCAGTTGGGGGCAAGTCTGTGGCGTCTGATGGGGTTTCCTCTGGTTTTTCTGGGGCTTTGGGGACCTCTGGGGACTCCTCCACCTCCATTTTAGAGTCCTCTGAGGGCTTCTCTTGGTGAGGCTTCTCTGAAGTCTCTTCTGACTCGAGTTTTGAAGGCGAGCCTGCAGCCTCTGAAGACTCGACCTCCATCTCCTCAGGGGATTCTGGTTTCTCGACCTCTGAAGGAGTCTTTTCATCTTCTTCGGAGGACTTGACACCTGGGCAAACTTCCTCTGAGGATTTTGTATCTTCTGATGCTTCAGAGAACTCTTTCGGTGATTCCTCGTCAGTTTTTGATTTCTCCTCTTCAGCTTCTGGCTCTGCTTCCACTTTTTCGTTTTCTTTCTCTTTAATTTCCTCTTTTTTAGATTCATCTTCAGATCTCTCTGCTTCCTGCTCCTCACATTTCCCAGGCTTGTCCTCAGGCTTATCGGCCTCCTCAGACGATTTTTCAACGTCAGGATCTGTCACTTTGGGCTCAAGTCTCTTCTCATCTGCTTCAGCTGATTTATCCTGATCTTTTTCGGGCTCAGGAGTCTCTTCAGTCGGTTTATCAGCGGCAGCAGAGACTTCTGAGGATTTATCAGCTTCAGGAGACTTTGTTGAGAGACTCGTGATCGTCAGTCCACTCTTGGGGAACTTCTCCTCGAGTTTACCCTCAGACTTGACGATTGTCAGCTCAACTCTGCCCTTCTCTGGGACTTCGGGCTTCTTGTCCGGAGGAGGGAGTGAGCTGTCTCGCTTGAAACCCACTTTTTCGATCTTCAGGGTGCCCTCGCCCTTCTCCAACTTCACCAGAATCTCGTCTTTATCGAACTTCAAAATGTCGTCTCTGTTCTCGATTTTAATGGCTTTCTCGGTTTTGTCGAAGGCCGCTGCCGCTTTCGCTGGTGGAATACCACCGAAAATACTCTTACCGAGTATTTTGTGGAAGGAAAAGTCAGGGTCGTTGAGAATTGTTATGTCGGTGCGACCCAGGCCGTGCTTGGCTGCTCCCAGGAGCAGCTCCTTGTCGTGTCTGCCTGGTACCCACCAGTCTGGAGTGTCTCCTGAGGGCTGGCAGAGGGACAATCTCTCCTCCAGGTGCGGGTGGGAGAGAATCTCCTCGCGAATCTTACTCAGGAGATCCACACGGTCCAGAATTTGCCGCGCTCTGCCCGGGCTCAACTGGTCAATTGGAATGTCTGGAAGGAGAAAGCTTTGGTGAGGCTGCGGGAATTTTGTTGACGGGGATTTTGCATGTCTTCTGTGGGACTGAATGGAATGTTAGGACATTTCAAGGTTTTCTTCCTATTTTCACAATTTGATTTCGTCACATTTTTGATCCACAATCGCATTTTTCCTATTTTCAGTTTTTTTTTAAATTTTTCCAAATTCATTTTTGGGGAAATTTTTGTTTCGTGTTCGTGAAATTCTCTACGAAAAATATCACCTGATAAAATTTTTTCAACTTCTTTTTTAGAAAACGAGAAAGTTTTGGAGATGATATACTTTATTTGTCAATATCTTGAGAATTTGAAGAGGAACATGAAGTTCTCATTCTGAAGATGTTTTTAGAGAATAAAAAATTTTACAAAAATTTTTTTTCATGTCTCTAAGAAGTTTGAATTTCAGTCGGAATGTTTTTTTTCTGTATTCTATGAATAATTCTCAATGGGAAAAATTTCCTGATGAATATATTCAGACCTCTTCCTTTCAAAGATATCCAAAGAATAATTTGTGGATGAGAAATGCTCTAAAAAAGAAATTTTACACGTTTTCCCCTCCATATATCTCTGAAATTGTTTGATTTAGGCAAAAATATCAAAATAATTTTTTTTTCTCATATATTGAAAAACTCTAGAGGAACGATAAATTACTCATTCTAAAGATTTCTTCAGCGAATTAAAAATTCTGCAAACATTTCATTTGAAATATGCCTGATGAAAATTAAATTTCAGTGAAACTCTTTTGTTTGTAGACGGAAATCTTCGACAGAAACAAATTTCCGATCAATTTTTTTAAACCTCTCCCTTCTGAAGATCTTCGAAACATCATTTGAGTATTAGAAATGTCCATAGAACAAAAATTTCGAACGTTTTTTCCTCTGAATATCTCTAAAACCGTTAGATTTTGAAAACTGAATATCAAAAGAACTTCCATTTGTCACATGCAATGCATTTCATTTGAAACCTTTCACAGATATTCCTCACTATCTAGAAAATTACTTGAAGTAGCATTTCAATAAATGTCTGATGTTTGATCAGAATAGAAAACTGCAACTTTTCATTTCAGTAGCGAAGCGGTAAACCGGGTTAAGTCGATTTTGACTTTTGGCCATTTTTTGACAAATATCTCGGAATCTAAGAGAGATAGCAAAATTTTGCTCATCACCTTTTTTATAACCCTCAGTTGGCTCTACAAAAAAGGTCATGACAAAAAATTTTCTATCTCTTTTAGATTCCCAGATATTCGTCAAAAACTGGCCAATAGTCAAAATCGACTTAACCCGGTTTACCGCTTCGCTACTGATTTGAAATATCCCTGAAGCCATGACGTTTTTGTAAAAATTTAAATAACGAAACTGTAAAACGATTAAGTCGACTCATCTCTTAGCTGAGTTTTTTGGGAATATCTCCGAATCTAAGGGAGCTAGCGAATTTTTCATCATAACATTTTTCATAGCTCTCGATTCACTCTACAAAAAAGGTTATAATAAAGATTTTGTTACCTGCCTTAGATCTCGAGCTATTCATTGAAAAGGAAAAAAAAACTGAGCAATAGTCAAAATTCAACTTGACCCTTTTTACCCCTTTGCTACTGATTCTGTTTCTCCCGCCTATGAAATTAACTACTATTAGAGAAAAATGTCATAACAATTTCCATTCAGCATATGCAATGCATATGTTACGCACTTCATGCAAGACCTATGCAAAAGTATCATTCATTTGCGCAAATAAAAAGAGAACGGGGTAAATTAAAAAAAACCAAAGCACTTACGGAACACACCTTCCTCCTCGCCCCCCTTGGAGTTACAAGCCTTCTTGCACATTGCACGGAAGGACATGTAGTAGTCAGTCAGATCCGCGTCAGACTTCTTGTCAAATCTCGCTAGGCTCTTGAATTTTGTCCAGTCATACTGAGCTTTCTTACGATCGTAATTAACCCCGTATGTGGAGACCACACGAAGGAATTCACTCTCTTCCCTGCGGGTCCATTTGGCTTTCTGCTCCTCTACGCGATAGCGCTCAAACTCCTTCACCATCTTTGCCGTTGTTTCTCGCCTCTCTATTTTCTGAAAAAGCATCATTTCGAGATTGAGTATTTGGGACTATTTTTGGTTTGAGATTAAGGCCCGGGTGTACTATCTTTCGAATTTTTCAATTTAATAATTGAAAAATTGTTACGTTCTATCACTTGATTAAGTATTTATGAGATTAATGACAATTATAATTTATGGTTATGCCTATCTTTGATGTAAAGTTGAATTTCCAAAGGCTACACAACATGCGAGAATGGGACCTTAGGAGAGTCTACACAGAGAGAAAATAATTGAAACTTTTCACTCTGCAACTAAGTTACATGGCTCTTAATATCAACCGGATGCAGAGAGGATAAAAAAGATGTAATGCTTCCTGCATTTTCCGCAGGTACTCGTGGCACTCCTAAATTTTAATGAATCCAAAGTGAAATATTGTGTAATTTCTCTCATTAAGTTTTTACTTCTCGTTGGGTTTTAATGAATGGGGAGGATCAAAGGGTGGACATTGGGGGCGTAATTATGTACCTAGGATACATTTGAATTTACCCAAAAAAGACTTTCATGAGTCTTACAGGCAATAATTTTCCTCTCTCAAGGGCTCTTACGTCAGCGGAATTGAGTCGTTAATGAGTAATTTTGGGGGTAACTGTTGAGAGATATTTTTATGGGGAATTTTGTCAGGTTTAAAAGGATCTCCGGTTACTTATAATTTTTTATATTTTATTAGAATTGAATAATAAACTTGTGTAAGTATTGAACACTCTCGTTACTGAGCGATTTTATATACCTGTCAAGGAGAATTATTTATTGTGTTATTTTTATAATTTTTTCAATTTTATTCTTAGATTATTCTCATTTCTCAAAATGAAATCTCGTTAACAAATGATTCTTCAAAAAACAATTGCCACATTTTCAATGTTAAATTTGATAAATATCTTTTATGAATGTATCTCAAAATGAATCCGTATGTATCGCCGTGAGGGATGTTCATGTTCCTTAAATTCATATATGAAACATTCATGTCATTACGAAACTATGTCGTTATGCGAGATTCTGCAAAAATTGTGTAAAATTTTTTTAAACCGACAAAATTATCCATAATTCTTGTCAAAATTTCTTGTATCGTCTGTTTCAAATTCCTACGAAATTTCATTTTACTTGAATGAAATGTGAAATATTTGAATAATTATAGAATTATCTCATCAATAATGAAAAACTTTCAAGACGTTTTCTCCTGCTACTAACATTTCTGAAGATGAATTCATGGCGATTTCAAGTGTTCCTAGATTAACTTTCCATCAAATGAAATATGAAACCTTTCAACTACTAAACTCTCGTTGATGAAGTCTCCTAAACGAAATTAATTTACTCAATTTCTCGTATGAAATGAGAAATATTTGAATAATTATAGAATTATCTCATCAATGAAACCTCCTTCTCATCAAGAGACCCGCCCTAAAAGTCTAATTTCCCCATACAAATAATAAAAAAATTTCAAGGCATTTTCTCCTAACATTGGCATTTATGGAGTTAAATTCATGATCTTTTTACATTAATTTCAAATCGTGCTTACCAAAAGATAGATAGCAAGCTTCTGAAGATCCCACCCCTCCAGATTGAGTGGAGGTTCTCCGGCATTCGGTCCAGCCTGATTAGCCATCTCGATCTCCATAGTTGGTTTCGCTCCCTTCTGCAGAGTCTTATTGACCTCGTCCTTCTTCCCAACAGTCCTCTGATAGGAAGAGATAACCCTTCGTAACCGGGTATTGAGATCAACGACTGATGGCCACGTTTTATCATCGTCGAGGAGCATCTCAGCCCCATCGTGACTGCCACCTGCCTCTGGCACTGGAGTATCTGCCTTGCTGGATATTGCTGGCGAATCAGCCGGGGTTTCTCTGCCGAATTTATCACCGTCCTTGACCTTCTGGGCGCCCGAACACTCGCCATCTTCGATGTCCTGGTCGATACTGTCTTCCCTGAATTTTGAAAAAATATATTCAATTAATTTTTTGAGTCCAATTTGAGATTTAATTCACTCGATCTGTAGTTCAGGTAAAAATTCATCGTTGAGCTCTGCAGAGAAGAGTAAATTCAAAATGCTTTGCAAATGTCGGAGGACTTGTCGAATTTAGAGAAATACACCACAAGAGCTGAAGATATTTGCAAAATTATGCGGAGGTGAAGAGTGTCAAGAAATTTTGGACGAATTATTTTGTAAATATCTTGGGATTTCTACAACAAACTTCTCACTCTGGATATTATTTTTTTGACGTGAACACGTCTTTAAGTTCATGTGAAGGCCATTCTAGGATGTTCTAAATTTTTCTAGAAGATTCTAGAAAATTCTCCTGTTTACTAGAAAATTCAAGAAAATTCTTCGTTTTTTTTTTTTAGAAAATACGAGAATGTTCTCCAGTTTTACAGGAAATTTGAAAAAATTATCAGATTTTCTAGGACATTCGCACATTTTCCAAAAAAATTCAAATCAGTTTATAAGATACGAACACGTAGACGCATTCGCACGTGAATAACAACCTAGACGTGTCCACTTCGCTTAGGGTTTTTTTATTATGTAGGAAAAATTGATAAAATTTGCCTGAATTTTCACAATTTTCAATCATTTTCATTGTCACATGGACCTGAAAATAGCAATTTCATTGAATATGGCCGAAATTAACTGATTTATTAGTAGCAACCTATATGGAAATTTCATGTGAATTACTTGGTTTCAAAAATTTCAAGATTTTATAAACATTGTTTTATAAAATTTATTAGCAATTTATTGAAATTCAAGAAATAGATCCTCTCAATTTTCAATTTTGAGAATTTTAATTCAGTTCGAGACCCAATTGCTGATTAAATTTCTTATTCATCTGGGAAATTCACCAAAATTGGCTTTTTCATGTTAAGCAATTATTGATATTACAACGAAGACTTGAATTTTCAAACTCATTGTGGAAATTTAACTTCACATTCTATTGAGTTTTCAAGAGATGGGAAAGCCAGAACAATAATTTTCCGATTTTCCACCATTTTCAATTGTTTCCATTGTCATATGGACCTGAAAATTGTAATTTTATTGAATACTTCACAAATTAATTGAGCCATCAGCAACAATCTCCGTAGAAACATCATATAAATCAGACATTGTTTACCAGTTAAACATTTTTACTTCAAATTAGAGCAGTTATTTCCTAACAGTGCATGTTTGTAGAATGAAAATGTTCAGAAAACCATCACAAAAAAATTTTTGCAGTCCCGAAAATTCTCCACAAAAAAATCTCCTGGTGATATTCTCTAGATCCAATCGATTCCGAGACATTTGTCAAATAATTTGTACGAATTTTTGTTCCACTTCATAACAACTTGTCCAACATTTGAGGCAGCAGACGACGATGAAGGACGATAATTCCCATAATACGGTGTAAAAATAATATTCCTGATTCATCAAATGAAAACTCAACCGTGCAATTGTATTCTCGTCCAGACTTGGCATCCTTCTATGAAAAAAATCATGTAATTGTTTATTTACGCTATTCACCAAGATAGTTCTCAATGGTTTTTCTTTTTCACAAAAATTATCATCGTCATATCCTTCTGGCATAACATAAACGTAAAGCGGATGTATTTAAGCGTGCAATTATGTGTTAAATTCGTAGGAGGCAGTAAGGCATCCGAGGATAGTGGGCTAGTAATACAATATAATTTGTAAAAATAAATGGGATGAAAAAAAAAGGAATTACTGAGTTAATTGTACTCACTTTGGTTGTTCTGTTTGGTTGGTCTGTGTCTGGGAAGGGAGAGGGCAGCTTGAAATGAAAGAAAGCGTGGGATCGGCCCTCATCTGGTCGTAATTCTCGTATCCATGTTTGTAGCAGCCAACAATTAGTGACTTGTCAGCCATAGCGTCCCACCATTTCGTTGGTCGTTCCGGTAACTGAGGAGGATCTATCCGCAACGCACTGTAGGGCGGTTTCATTTACAAATTTTGCCAATTTTTCAACAGCCAATTTTTTCTTTTCTCAATGATTTCTCTGAGTTTATCTTGTCAAGAAAATAAAAGGCCAAATTTTGATATCAAGACTTGACGATTTCAGGTTTTTCCAATTTTTATTCTTTTTTCGGTATCACTGGGTTCTAGATTCTTTAGAATTCATTCAGAATTTTCGGTGAATCGTTAAATCTTTGGTTGTTGAGCGAACGAAGTGGAGATTTAATGAGATTTATCAACTACCCCACGAGTAGGTGGAATTTCAATCGGTTGTGGAGGGGTGAATCGTGATGAGTCAATTTTTTCATTTGTTGATTTTCTTTATTTAGGTGGGAGTGAGGGAGTTTAGGGGGGAATGGAAAAACTTTTTTGGAGCTGCACTGAGAAAAGAAAATGCTTTTGCCAAGTATATTTACTTGCCACAAGTAAATATATGTAAATATTTGCATAAGACATGTATAAATGTTCTTGTAGGTAGTAATGTCCTTGGCAAAAGCATTTTTTTTCTCAGTGTGAAGAAATTTTCGAAGACGGGGTCTTGACATATTTGTAATTTAGGGATTCGCAAAATGTAAAAAATTGATTCGCAAGAACTAAATTTTGACATTTTTGTTAATTTTTCATTGGTCTCGCAGATGAGGAGTTTAGGAACAAATGTTGAAAGACTTTTTTTTGGGGGACTTAAGGCCCGGGTGTACTATCTTTCGAATGTTATCTGGATTTTTTTTATCTTTCGTATTACAAAATTGTCAATTGAGTGGTACATCATGTAGAAATTCCCAAAAATTATGATAGAATAATAAAAAAATAGAAAAAATTCTGAACTTTCTCAAAGAGCGTTTTTAATTGAGATTCAGATTGAGTTGAAAAAAGTGGAAATTACAAATATCTGATTCGCTGTGGCAAATTATCTATTAGCTGTCATTTTCCATGGTGGATAACAAGACACTAACTCCTCATGGGAAGTGACAGCTAGGTATCTCAATTTTCAAAACAGTGGTATGTAGTCATCTGCCATTTTTATGTGATAAAACTGTGATTAAAAAATTCTCCAACATATTACAACTTTTTTCAAAGAGCCTTTTCCGTAATAAATGTGTCCGTGCAGTGTGGGAAAAGATTTACGAAATCAGTCTTCCCCCTGCATGATATTGGGTGACAGGCCGCCATTTGTCACCGTAAATCAGATACATTTTTCAATTTCTTGTTATTCAACTTATTCTGAATATAAATTAAAAATGCTCTTTGAAAAAATTAAGAATTTCTTCTACTTTTTTTTGATTATTCATTTCTAATTTTTCAAAACTTCTGTATGATGCAGGACTTAATTGACAATTTCAGATGACGAGAGATGAAGAAAAACATCGAGATAACGTTCGAAAGATAGTACACCCGGGCCTTAAATTCTAAACAAAAGTAAAATATCCATTTTTAACTCAAATGACTGACTATTGAGATATGATTTATTGAGGATTAGTCAATTTCTACTTTACATGACTCATTTCTGTATCTCGTAAATTTGAAATTTTAAGAAAAAAATATTACAAAAAAATCTTAGATCTATAATAAGGTAATTTCAACAATTTTTCATTCTTCAGTGATTTCGTAGTGAGATTCGAAGAAAATATCAAGCACATTTTTTGTGGCTGAGAAGATATTAAAAATCACTTACTACTGAGATAATTTAATAATTAACCGAATAGACAGAATTTGGTGGCATTTGGATAATTTCGAAACTTTTAAAAAATCCTGTATTTACATTTTCCCGTAGAGTCACTCGTTAGGCAATGCAACAATCAACAAGATGTGAGAAAATAATTTTCAATAAATGAATTTCAACTACTTTGTCTTCATTTATCTCGGAATCGAATGAGTTTAGAGAAAAACACGAGAAGACATGTTTTCCACAGAATTAAATTTCCAACAAAAAATGTTTCTTGACATTTCCCCCTAAAACCGCTCATTACGAGGCTAATCCCATTCTTAAAAACCCCATAAAAATCGACGATTCTGTTTTATTTCTCACGTTTCATCCCTCCACTATCGAGATAAAAGTCTGCATGCAACTTGATAGGACCATTAGTTAACCCCCAACTCTGACTCTGTAAATCCGTAATACCTTTCTTCTTTCTACATAAAAAAAACCTATGCATCAAACAATTAGAGTGCCACGACAAGAGGAAAATTTGAACGTGCTCTAAATGATCTGGCATTAAATTAAATAATCCCCCAATTAAATCCAATCAAACAATCGATAATCGACAAATATTGCCTGATATAATCACAAAATGAATGAAAATAAAAAAAACTTCGGAGCCCGGCCAGTGCCAACCGAGATCGTCAAATCTTCTCTCATAATTTCCTTCAATTTCATAGAAAATTAAAGTAATTCTAAAATTTTGATTTCCAGAAAATAAAAAAAAAGGTAATAAACACCATTGCCCTCTTTATACAGTGCACTGCTTCTCAAAGAATTTACCTTACCATCCTCAAAGCGCCGCACACAACTGCTGTCTCGTCTCGGATGAGGCGGAGTGAATTATAATATTTTTTGCATAGTCAACAGTGCGTTCAATAAAATAGAGAGTACGAAGGAATTTTCAATGATTTCTTGGGGGAGTAGTTGATTAGTAACAAAGTGGAACCGACCCCCCAGTCTATCCATCCATGAAGAAAATATCCATCAGCGAAATCAATAATTAAGTGGTAAAACGTAGCTCAACAATTTCATTAATTTCAAATCTTAGTTTTTAATAGTTATCTTAAAATCAAATGGAGATAGCGGAAGGTTCCTCATGATCTTTTTGTGAACACGATTTTTCTGTACAAAAAATGATTTTTGGGAGATTTTTGGATTTTTGATGGAATTAGATATTTGTAGAAAATAAATTGTGAAATTAGGGGAGAGGAGAGTAGAATGAATGGCTTTTAATCATCAATAATTAGAGATTAACAGAATGAAGTTGAGCGATTGCTGTTCATTCTGAAGGTATTTTTTCAGGTTTTAAAATGAGAACTGATTTATTGAAATCATACTATTCAGTCAGGAGATATTAATGATTTAAAAAAGGTCTCTGAGCTCACTTTCCTAAATTTTTTCATGTTGATTTTGCTTTTGATAAATGTCTGAAAATATAGCTTAATTTTCATTGGACCTTCCTTGTAGCTTTCACTTTCTTCTACAAAAAAAGGTCTGGAGAAAATTTACGTATATGCAAATATATTCAAAGATATTTATAAAATACTGATTGTGAACAAAATTGAACAATTTTTTCGCAGGTATTTCTCTAGGCTTTAAAATAAGACCTGATTTATTCAAAATGTACTGTTCAGTCAGGAGATATTCATAATTTAACAAAGTTGTTTATCTCACTTTCCCAAATTCTTTCACTTTATTTTAGCTTTTGGTAAATATGTCTAAAAATATAGTTAAATTTTCTTCGGACCTTTATTGTAGCTGTCACTTTTTTCTGCAAAGAAAGGTCTGGAGAAAATTTACGTATATTCAAATATATTCACAGATATTTATCAAAAATTAATTGTGAACTTGGGAGAGAAAAAAACAACGTAAACTTTTTTCAATCATCAATAACTGGAGACTGACAGAGTGAAATTGAACGATTTTGTTTTCAATTTGAAGATATTTCTTCCACTTTGAAGATGAACTCAGGTTCATTCCAATCGTATCATTTGGTCAGGAGATATTGATGATTTAAGGGATTCTTTTCACCTGGTCTTTCCGAAATTCTCACATTTCATTCCGGTTTTTTTTAAAATAAATTGTCTGAATACAATACAAATAGCTAATTTTTTTAGGAACACTTCTCGTCTCTCATTCTTTTGTAAAGAAAAAAATCCTCAGAAAAATTTTGTTTCTCCTACAGATGTTTTCACAAAAGCTCACAAAAAACTAATGGTGGAGTTGAGACAGAGGCAAATCAAATAACTCTTTTTGAATCATCAATCACTAGGGATTAACAGAACAAAATCCACAATGATTTTATCATTCTAAAGATACTTTTAAGCCTTCAAAACAATACTTGGTTTACCCAATCGTCCCATGAGTTCACGCAATATCCACGAAAAACTGACTGAGTAGAATAGACAAATTTTACCACTTCACTACTGAAATCCTTAGGATAAAACCGTAAAATTGGAATTTGCATTCCCCGACATCATAACAGGATGTACCCAATGACAAATGAAACAAATACACTGCGCATGCAACTATAAAGCACTGTACAAGCACATATGTAAGTGCACGATGTAATTATGACAGAATTTTAGGATAAATAATTAATGAACAAATGATGAATTAAAATATAAGAGAGGAAAGCCTGCTTTTTCTGCTTTGTCACAAACGTTTTTACTGACCTGACGTGTACACCGTCCGATATGTGCTGCACCAGGTCACCAATTATCTCGTGCTTGATGTAGTACAGCATACGGACTCGTAAAAGTACCCTATGGGTATAAAGAAGAGTCATTAAGAATCATTTGTAATTTATGGTGGCGTTGGAAAGATGTCATTAAGGAGATTAAGAAGGAATTTGTGAGGGGGGGGGCAGAATGAGGGGAAGGATGTGATTATGAATGGAGTATTCTTGGGTATGGGAATTGCGATGCTATGGAATTATAATCAATTTTATTAACTTCTGGAAGTGCAGAATTGATGAATTCTAAATTGCAATGTTGGAATTTTAGCAATGGGAAATATTCTTTTGTTAAAGCCCGGGTGTACTATCTTTCGAACTTTATCTCGATGTTTTTTTAAATCTTTCGTCATCTGAAACTGTCAATTTTCAAAGTTTTGAAAAATTATGAATGAATAATAAAAAAAAAGTAGAAGGAATTCTTAATTTTTTCAAAGAGCATTTTCAATTTATATTCAGAATAAGTTGAATAACAAGAAATTGAACAATGTATTTGATTTACGGTGACAAATGGCGGCCTGTCACCCAATATCATGCACTGCACAGAGACATTTATAACGGAAAAGGCTCTTTGAAAAAAGTTGTAATATTTTGGAGAATGTTTTAATCACACTTTTATCACATAAAAATGGCGGATGACTACATACCACTGTTTTGAAAATTGAGATACCTAGCTGTCACTTCCCATGAGGAATTAGTGTTTTGTTATCCACAATGGAGAATGACAGCTAATAGAGAATTTGCCACAGCGAATCAGATATTTGTAATTTCCACTTTTTTCATCTCATTCTGAATCTCAATTAAAAACGCTCTTTGAAAATGTTCAGAATTTTTTCCATTTTTTAAAATCATTCTGTCATAATTTTTGGGTATTTCTACATGATGTACCACTCAATTGACAATTTTGGATTACGAAGGATAAAAAAAATCCAGGTAACATTCGAAAGATAGTACACCCATGCCTTAAATCTATTATTTTTTGTTATTGATAGTAAAATGGGGGAGATATAATGATGTAGAAGCTAAATTTATGAAAATTTTAATCGCATTTGTTTATTTTAGTTTTGTAATTGCGGATGCAGGATACGAGTGATTTTAGAGGAAAATCTCACGAGACTTGCTTTAGCTGGGGAAATTTCCTATCTACAAAAATTTCAGTAGTGAAGTGGTAAACGAGCCGATTGAGTGCTACAACAAATGTAATCACGAAAATTTCGCTGTCTCCCTTGGATTCGGAAATATTCCTCAAAAACTCAACTAGGAGATAAGTCGACTTACCTCCACTTACCACTTCACTACTGAATTCATGTAAAAAATTATCAATGATGAATATTTTTCTTCGGGCATTTCAAATTGATTGTTCCTCGTTATACTCAACGAGTTTGGATATATTTCTTTAAACTCGCTTGTTCCCAAAGTAGAAAATTTCATTAGAGAAAAAAAAAAAAAAAAAAAAAAAAAAAAAAAAAAAAAAAAAAAAAAAAAAAAAAAAAAAAAAAAAAAAAAAAAAAAAAAAAAAAAAAAAAAAAAAAAAAAAAAAAAAAAAAAAAAAAAAAAAAAAAAAAAAAAAAAAAAAAAAAAAAAAAAAAAAAAAAAAAAAAAAAAANTGCACTCACTTCGTCGCATGTCTGCTGAGATGTTTTCTGTACGTGCTCTCGAGGAAGATGTCCCCGTCGTACTTCTCCGCATGACTCCAATGATTCGGATCACTGGGTCCCCCATTGACAGTGGAGCCCCTCGTCTCCCTCACTCCCTCCCTCACCCTACAATTCTTCTTCTTATTCCTGCTGTTCCTATTCGCCTGATTAATCGTAATGGTCTTCACCTTCTCCCCATTCTCCAGAGGTGTTATCAAGTCCCATATAAAGCTACGAATTTTCTCATCACCCCGGTAATAACGAAGACAGTACAGTAGAATGACACGAGCACAATCCTCGATATCAATTTCACGCCATCCACGTCGTAGCTGGCTGTGCTGGAGAATCTCCTCCCAGCGTCCCCAGCCAAAGGTCAGTAATCCACGCTCAACTTTGAAGCATTCACTCCTCGCCCAGCTTCCGTACACCACCTCACCCTCTCTTGGCACATACTCGTCACAATATTTCTTCTTCTTTCCGAATTTATCTCGCCTCTTTTTCCCTGCAAACGTCAAACTCATTGTCAGATATTTTTTGTGAGTTATTAATGCTGGAATATCCTAGAAAATCTCAAGGGTGGAGAACACTCAAAGCTGATTTATGAACGTGAGTGTGAGGATGATTTGACTGATAAGCATGGAATTATTAATTTCCCGACAAAAAAACCGATGGTTAAGGGGAGAATTTACTAATATTTTGGGATTTAAGTGGAGTAAATTGAGTTTAACACTATTTGATGGTAAATTTTGAATCGTTTTAATCATTATTTGAAAATTGAGCATTTTGATAGAAAAATTAATGGAATTATTTCAGGAAAATTCAGGTGAATATGTTCTTGATTTTTTAAATTGATAATTAGTTTTGAAAATTTAACTAAATTGATGAATCCACTTTTTTTCTGCGGCTGGAAGAATTGACGATTCAATTCCATTGAATTTTCAATAAAATTTTAAGTTTCATTGGAACTTTGTCGGATATTTTTGGTGATTTGTGAATACTTGAATATCCTAAAAGATATCAAAGGTGGGAAACACTCAAAGTTGATTTTTGAACCTGAGTGCGAGGATCATTTGACTGATAAGCATGGAATTATGAATTTCTCAGTAGAAAAACGGATCGTGAGGGACAGAATTTACGAATATTGTGGGATTTAAGTGAAATAAATTGAATTTAACACAATTGAAAGATTAATTTTGAATTATTTTGCTCATTATGTCCTCTTGATCACTGCTGAAACTTTTTGACTTGCTTTCGTAGTTACAAATTTGTCATTTGGATGGACAAATTAATGGAAACTGCGAATTTGAGTTCAATTATTTCAGGAAAATTCAGGTGAATATATTCTTGATTTTTGAAACTAATAATTCGTTTTGACAATTGAACTAAATTGATGAATCCACTTTTTTCTGCGGCTCAAAGAATTGACAATTTAATTCCATTGAATTTTCAGTAAAATTTAAAGTTTCATTGGAACTTTGTCGGATATTTTTGGTGATTTGTGGATACTTAAATATCCTAGGAGATCTCAAAAAGATGGAAAACACTCAAAGTTGATTTGACTGATAATTTGATAAGTATGGAATTATTAATTTCTCCGTAAAAAAACGGATCGTGAGGGACAGAATCTACGAATATTGTGAGATGTAAGTGAAATAAATTGGATTTAACACTACTGGAAGACAAATTTTAAATTATTTTGCTCATTATGTCCTGTTGATCACTGTTGAAATTTTTGACTTGCTTCCATAGTTACAAATTTGCCATTTTGATGGAAAAATTAATGGAAACTGCGAATTCGAGTTCAATTCTTGCACGAAAATTCAGGTGAATATATTCTTGATTTTTTAAATTGATAATTAGTTTCAAAAATTGAAGTAATTTGGGAAATCTTTTTCCTGCTGCTCAAAGAATTGAAAATTCAATAGAATTTTCAGTGAAATTTCAATGGAACTCATTGTCAGATACTTTTAATAATTTAAGAACACTTGAATATCCGAAAAGAAAATCTCAAGGCACCACTCAACGCCAATCAATTTTCAAAAAACCAAAACCGTTATTAAACTCCTCAAAAAAATATGATTCCAAATATAATCGAGTTTTCGCAAAATTTTTTGCAGTTTTTAATCATCTTTGAAATTATACCTCCAAAAAACTGTCACAATTTACCCAGAAAAAAAATTACCCTTCAATCTACGATAAATCCTCATCAAATCACATTAACCCCCTGAATTTAACTGCAATTTAACTAAAAACCCTATCAATGAATTCAACTAAAAAAAAAATCCTACCCACCTGAGTCCCACACCTCCCTAACAAACCCCTCCCCACGAATATTCCCAACTTACTCCACAAAATCCCCCCAAAGACGTCGACCATGAAATGATAATGATAATGAATGTGCGGCATGCACATAAAACATACCTCTACCTGTTAATCCCCCATCATCATCGCTGTCATCAGAGCTATCAAGCTCTGACATATCCACCACCGACTCATCATGTCCATATCGTTTGATCTGCGTCCTCCTCCTGGGTTCCGAGATGACGAGATCCTCCTCCTCCTTCTTCTCAGTGGTATCAATCTCCGCCTTCTTCGCCCACTTGTTCCAAAAGTCAGGATCATCAATATTGATGTCAGACCGATTGGACGCGCAGGCAAAGCTAGCCTTGGAGAAAGTGGAGCCCTTCTCGGCCTCAATAGTGATGACCTGCGTCCTCCTCTCGAGAATCTGATCGATGTCCTCTTCGCAGAATTTATCCCCAGCAGTGTCATCATCCATGATGGCCCCATAGGCCCCCTTCTTCAGTAAATCCTCAATCTCCTTCTTGGTCAGCTGTTTATTCCCGGGATCCTTGCCCCCAGAGCCCTGAGCAGTGTTCATAGACTGAAGAATGGCCTTGTCAAGCCCCAGCTTCATGGAGGCCTTGTCAAACATCTCTCGTTCATAAGTGTTTCGACAGAGAAGACGATAAACCTTCACCATCTTCTGCTGCCCAATCCTGTGGCACCTGGCCTGTGCCTGCAGGTCATTCTGAGGATTCCAGTCGCTGTCATAAATGATGACAGTGTCAGCAGCTGTTAGATTGATGCCAAGCCCCCCAGCCTTGGTGCAAAGTAGAAAGACAAATCTGTCTGAATCGGGTTTGCTGTATCTGTCAATAGCAGCTTGTCTCAGATTCCCCCTAATCCTCCCATCAATCCTCTCGTAAGGATACTTCTTGTAGACCAAATAATCCTCGAGAAGGTCCAGACACTTCACCATCTGGCTGAACACCAGCACCCTGTGTCCACCAGCCTTCAGCTTGGGTAACAATTTATCAACGAGCACCATTTTTCCAGAGCTGTTGACCAAAGCGTGATAATAAGCGTCAGAATCCTCCTTCTCTCCAGTCTTGTAGTCCAGCTGTATCTGATCCTCAGCGCCATTCAGCAAGAACGGATGTATGCAGCACTTTCTCAACTCCATCATCGTGTTCATAAGATTGGGAATGTTAGCTGAGGTGGTTCCCTTCGCCAGAAACGAGAAATTTCGTTCGAGAATTCCTCTGTAATACTTCTTCTGGATATTTGTGAGCTCAACCTCGACGACAGTCTCCTCCTTGGGAGCCAGAGACTTCTCCACGTCCTCCTTCAATCTCCTCAGCATCATGGGCTTCAGCAGGAGCTGAAGCTTGTTGACTTCACCCTCACTACTCAAATTACCGAATTCCTTCAAGAAGGCTTCGTTGCTGGCGAACTGATTGGGCTCGAGGAAATTGAGCAGTGAGAACAGCTCGTTGACGTTGTTCTGGAGTGGAGTACCAGACAGCAGGACCCTGTGCTCCAGGCTCAGCTGCCTGAGCCCCTCCAGGAGCTTGCAGTTCCTGTTCTTCAACCTGTGAGCCTCATCAATCACACAGAGACGCCAGTTGTACCCCTTCAACTCATTAAAATCAGTGATGATGATCTCAAATGTTGTGATCAAGACATTGAACTTTATGAGATCCTTGATCTGATTCCCCTTGTCGTTCTTGTAATAAACCTCGTACTCCTGCAGCATCGTGCGACTAGCTGCAGACCCGTGATAAACAACAACATTCATGTCAGTCCAGCCCTCGAACTCCCTCTGCCAATTGGGAATGGTTGACAGTGGAGCAATTATCAGGAAGGGGCCACGTATTCCGTATTTGTAAACAGCATCCACAAATGTCAATGACTGAATAGTCTTCCCCAGACCCATCTCATCAGCCAGGATGCAGTTGTGGCCGTTGTACCACGAGAACAGCAGCCAGTTCAACCCCTCGAGTTGATAAGGTCTCAGACTGTTCCCTGATTTATAAATTGGGGACTCGTCCAGCTTCTGCCACTGGGCAGCCACAGGCTTCTTCTTCGGTTTCCACTGGTCCTTGGGCGGCACCTTATTGAACTTCCTGAACTGGGCGATCTTCTCGGGGTCCACATCCTCCTCCAGCTCCCAGGTGGAGTCCTCATACTGCAACGATCGCCACTTCACCAGGTAATGCCTGACTGTTTCACCTGTCGTTGGGTCTGTGTGGGTGGCCTCATCCAGGACTCGATCCACTTCGACGAAGTCAGGGTTGAATGGGTCGTCCTCAGTGTTCTCGAAGATATTGGTGCTCTGCTGGAGCTTCTGCTTGAATCTCTTCAGCTTCGCTTGGATTCGCTTGTCACCCTTGTAGAGCTCCTCCTCCGTTCTCCATTCACAGTGGAGATACGAGAAGTTTCTGTACTTCACGAGGTACTCCTCGACTTCCACGATCTGGGGTTTCGCCTCCTCCTGAGGCTCCGTCGCCGTGCTCTCGGGCTCCTGAGCCTCTGCCTCGTCGGTCCTCTCCTTGTCCTCCTCGGGCTTCTTGTCCTCGTTCTTGTCTTTGTCCTCGTCTCCGGTTTTCTGAGGTTGTTTGTCCTCCTCCTCCTCTTCTTCCTTCTCGCGCTTCTCCTCAGTTTCAGCTTTAGCTTCTTTCTCTTCATCATCTTCTTCCTCTGGCTTTTCATCAGGGTCTTCTTCCTTCTCAGCCTCGGACTTCTTCTCAGCCTCAGCATTCTCAGCTTCTTCCTTCTTCTCCTCACTCTTCTCCTTGTCCCCCTCCTCAGGCTTGACCTCAGCAGCAGCTGTGGGCTTCACCTCCCTCTTACCCATCCTCATACAGAGAATGTGCTGCACAACCATCGAATCTTCATCAGTAGTATTAATATACACAAAGTTTGGTTTATTGGGGCCCACATCACCCCCCTCATTCTCCCGTTTAGTGGACGTTGGTTTAGCTGTAGAGCCATCAGACTTCTTGGCATCAGGTGCTGGCATCTCCTCGTCCGAAAATCTCAGCATGACATCATCGACATATTTCTTCCTGTGAGTATTACGAGACGACCTGCGTTTATTAGTGTCATCAGCCTCAGGCGAGGGTGGAGGAGTGGTTGCGAGTTCCTCGCCATCAGAATCCGGAGCAATTCTGCTCTTTCGTTTCTTCGACGCCCTTGGCGTTCTCGTCGATGTCCCTTTACCCCCAACTGATCGTTTACGTGACGACTTCTTCTTGGCTGGTGTTGCTGTCTCAACAGCAGCAGCCTCCCTCACTTCCTCCTTCTTCTCGTCCTCATCAGCAGCTTCCTCATTGTCCCCTTTGTCATCGCCCTCTTCCTTGGTGTCCGTTTGAATGGGTTCAGTTGTCGACGAGTCCACATGCTCCTGATCATCCTGGATAGGAGGCTCGCTGGATTTCACGTCTGCATCCTGCACAGCCACAGACTCCGACACGTCCTCGTGGTCCTCACCAGCCTCCTCATCAGCTGAATCAGACACAATGACCTTCTTCCTCCCTCGCTTCGAGCCCTCTCGCCCCTCTTTATCCTTCTTCTTTCTCCCTTTGGGGGATTTCGCCTCCTTCGGTACTTTCTCCTTCTTTATCTTAGTTTCTTTAGGTTCCTTTGGCTCCTTCGGTTTCCTCGGCTTCCTCGGCACCCTCGACTTCCTCGTCTTATTCCACTCCTCCTCGTGATCCCCGGAAGACGGTTTATTGTCCTCTGAATCAGCAACACTGTCGGCGATACTACTGTCGCCAGGTGTGACTAGATTCTCCGAGACAGGTTGCTCAGGTGCTGGCACCGGTTGACTCGTGATTGGTGCTGCTGCCTCCTTATCAGCCTTCTTGCGATTTTTCTTGGCTCTGGGTGCCCCTTTACTCCTCCCCCTGCCAGTTGTACTGGACACCTGGGGGCTGTCAACAACAGTTGACTGGAACATTGGAGTTGCCAGGATGCAGCCAGGACCTCCATTGCACTGGTCATTAGTCTCGTGCTGCTGGAGTGCCTGGAGTTTCTCCTGAAGTGCAACGATTTTCTCCTGATTCTCCTGGGCTGGGGGCATGCAGAACAGCTCTTGGAGCTGCTGCTGCAGTGCTGCACGCTCCTGATGATGAGTCACTGGTGCGTGGGCGTTGTTGAAGGCACCACCAGGTGTCGACATCCCATACATGTTTGGCATGCTGCCTGGAATAATCTCACCCCCGTGGTACTGCTGGCCAGAACCCACGATCATGTCACTCTGGTACATCGGCTTCTGGATATTCGTGTATTCACCGAAACCACAGGGTTGCATCGTGTGAGGGGGTGGTGGCTGATTATTCGTTATTGGAACAGCTGTTTGGTGAGGGGGCAGGGGCCCACCTGGCAATTGCTGTGGGGGTATGTGAGCTGGTGCCACAGAGTTAGCCTGAGTGATTTGAGTGGAGATCGGTGGCATCTGGGGCATCATCGAGTTGCTGGTGGGTATCATGTTGACTTGGTTCATGTGGGGTTGAGGTTGAGTTGGCATCAGGGGAGATTGTGTTTGTGGCTGGGGTTGGGGTGTCATCTGGGGCTGGGGTTGGGGCATCTGTGGCTGGGTGGACTGCTGGGGGGATTGGCTCATTGGAGGCTGGGGGACTTGAGACTGGGGTTGACTCATTGGAGGCTGCTGCTGAATTTGGGACTGGGGTTGAGGCATTGGGGGCGTCTGAGGCAGCTGGGCCTGTTGTCCCTGGATTTGCGACGGTTGCTGAGGTATTTGGGGCTGAGATTGGCTCAGGGTTTGTGACTGATTCACCTGGGATTGACTCACTGGTGCCACCTGGCCCATGTGGCTCTGGTTGTCGTGGAACTGGGGTATGCTTGGGCCCATTGGGTGCTGGGAGGTGTTGATCTCGGATGATTGTTCGTTGACCTTGTCTGAGGCCTCGTTGTCAGTGGAAACTGCCGGTGCCACCTCCACCTGGGACTGCATCAGAGGTGATGGCGTACTGCACTCGACATTTCCACTTGTACTGGACGCCGGTAACGATTGTACTGGTTCAATTGACGGTTTAACTGTTTGGGGTTGTTCAATGGGAAGGTTTAATTGCGAGGTATTTAGCACTGGCTCCTGAGTGAGAAGCTCTGGTGATTGTTTGACAGGCTCAGCAGTGTCAGGTGATTGTGATTGATTTATACTTGGATTATCGTCACGTGTCGTTGTTTCAACGACACTGTGCATATTGTCATTACCATTCACTGGGAACATTGACTCTGGGGGTGGTTGTTCCATCATTCTGTCGTTCATCCCCATGGCCGGCCTTGTTTGGGGCTGGGGAGGAGGTGGTGGCTGGTGGGGCTGGGGTGGCTGCTGTTGAGGTGGTGGTATTGATTGCTGTTGGGGTTGCTGCTGCTGCTGCTGGGGTGGATGCTGCTGCTGCTGCTGCTGTTGTTGTTGTTGCTGTGGTGGCTGTTGAGGCTGTTGATGTGGCCACTGTGATGGCATTGGCATGCGTGGGCCAGTCACTGGTGGCATTGAATTTTGTGCGTTTTGTTGTGGCATTATACTCGATGGATGTGGCATAGGTGGTCTCGATTGAAATTGAGGGTAATCACCACCTGGTACATTTGTATTTGGTACACCAGGTATCACCATTTGCTCCAGTGCCTGGAGGGTTGTCTGTTGGGTTGACGTTGGCATTGACATTGATGGTGGACATGGGGATACTGACACAGCATTTGGAGGTCCCGATTGCTGATGAGGCATTTGTACGTGGGGATGGGGGGACAATGTCGTTGGTTTTGCTGGTGACATTATCGGTCGTGGTGACATTTGTTGTTGGACAGCTGGTGGTCTGGGTGACATTTGCGGTCTCGGTGACATCTGGGGTGATAGCTGGGGAAATGCAGCTCGGTATTGGGGGCTTGTTGCCAGTTTTGTTGGGCCAAATTGTCCAGTTTGTCCTGCATGCTGTGGACCAGGATGCTGGGGGCCTGGATGCTGCTGGCCTGGATGTTGAGGGGGATGCTGAGGTGGATGTTGAGGGGGATGCTGAGGTGGATGCTGTGGGGGATGTTGTGGTGGATGTTGAGGGGGATGTTGGGGTCCTGGATGACCCCCTGGATGCTGATGCTGGGGTTGATTGAACATCGGGGCTGTGTGATGAGGATACTGTGGCTGTGTCTCCATACTTGGTTGACTCACAGGATGCTGAGGATGTTGAGGATACTGTGGATGCGACGGATGGGCTTGATGTGTCGCATGGGACGGATGATGATGTGGCATTCGTTGTGGTTGCTGTTGAGCCTGTGCTTGTTGTTGGGCTTGCTGCTGCTGATGCATTGTAAACCCTGAGTAACCAGTTGCTGCTTGATAGAGAGCTGGATTACTCTGCTGATAGTGCTGCTGTTGTCCCACCATGTGTTGGTAAACACCAGCTGTACCACCTGGCTGCATAGCCTGATGTGGTACACCCATACTACTCAGCATTCCCTGCTGTGCATTGAAATGCTGCTGTTGCTGTTGTTGCTGTATCTTTTGATTGATATTGGCTTGATCCTGCTGGTGTGAATACTGGGGTATGTGTTGCCTGTAGGCCGTTGGCTGTGGTGCCATTTGATTGTAATGCCTCTGCATCTGTGAATAAGTACCACCAGCACTTGGCCAACCCTGCATATTAGGATCCATACTTATATTGCCACGTGCCATTGGATGCTGTTGCTCCATTGAATACATATTGTCTGAGTAACCAGGATATTGATTTGGATTTTGAGGATGTGGAGCTCTGTGCTGTGGCCCCATACCTCTAACTTGATTGGCAAATGTACCTGGTACCATCGCCCTCTGTGGGGCACCACCATCAAAATTACCCAAATTCTGATTGAACATGGCTCTTTGTCCACCTGTACTTTGTAATTGATTACCACTGCCAAATTGTTCACCACCACCGAATGATGTTAATTTTTGTAATGGAGATTCTTGTGAAATACTGTAGGGCGGATTAATGTAACTCCCACCTCCGTTGGGACCTGTATTAGCCCCATCTCTAGCTACACCAGTATTTGTAGCACCTGACGGATCAAAATGATCATTTCCCCCAAGATCAGGTAGCGCATCGAGCATCGAGCCACTGACATCTTCTCCAAATAGATCGTACGAGTCCATGTCTCTATTACGCTTCACGACTCTTCGCCTCCATCTCAGGCTCAAGAGGATATTTCACGATTCTTTGTATTGTCACTGGCGTACCCATCATTGATTCTTTGGGTGAAAAGTCTGGAATTAATAATAAACAAGTGTGAGAATAGTTGTGGTGGGGGAAGGGAGATGGTGATGATGAAATTAGCGGAATATTCGAGTGGGAAAAATTCAATTTAGGGGTTTTTTAGGGTTTCAGGGTCAAACAATCGTATGTGCAAAGTTTATGAGTGTGAACGAAATTGTTAGAGGACTTCAGGTATATCCCAATCTTAGGAAAACATGTTTTTCGTAAAATTGTCCCCAGGTTTTTCTCAGATAATGTTTATAATAGTCCGCAGCTATTGAAAAATGTTAACTAGCTACACTTCATTCATTATTTACTAACTTACTAAACTGTATACTAACTACACAGTTTAGAAGATAATAAATAATTAAATGTGGGCTTCAAACACGCGAGGCATAGGCCAAACGGGGGTTATGGGTCGTACTCGATTTTTCCATCTTACGAGAAAACGGTTTTTAAAAAACTAATCCGTGATAGATGGATAAATTCCGAATACAGTGAATTTTATGTAAAATTGTGTGCTAAGTTTCTGCGATATGCAACTCTAAGAAATGGAAATTTCGGGAAAGCATTCCTTTTTTGATTCAAAAAATTAATTAACAAATCATTTTTCATTTGATTCAAATAGTTATTCTTGCCTGCATCAACAAAAATTTTTTTTAAACCATGAATATTTACTATCATTCAAATAACATTTTGCGCCGAATTATCATTTTTTTTAACATTCGTAGTTTGTAAATAAATAATTAAAGTTGGTTAAACTGTCGAAAACCTTATTTTTTTAGGTATGATATCCATTTCTAGTAAAATTCAGAATATAAATAAATTTGTTACGATTCCAAACAAATGATTTTTATGATGAAAAATTGATTGTTTATAAATTATTCATAGAAAATGCTCGTAATTTTCAGAAATACAATTTTTATATCATTTCATCAATCTTCTCCCAGAACTTTCTAATTTTTTTCAGATTTTTAAAATGTTTTCTCACGGTTCAATATCGAGATTCAAATTCAGACCTGCAAAGTTTAAATAATAAAATTATTGTAAATTCATTTTCTAAGAGGAAAATTGATTCAAAAGTGCGTTCCTCGAAGGTTTCTTTTGTAGTTCGGATCTGCTTGTTAAAACTGACTTCTGGTTTTGCTATTGGGGAATATCTCAGAGTCTGAAGTCTGATGGAGATGACGTACTTCTTAGACATGTTTCGTGAAGGAGAACGAGGAGTGCAGAATAGTGTTCATGAAGAAATGAAGATATTGACTATATTCAGGAAAGAATAATCTCCCAGTGGAATTCACTCATTTCCCTTGCATTTGAAAATTTCAAAAAATAAAATGGGCATAATTCGATCGGTAGGTTTTCTATGAGAATGAGATTCTTGAGTTACAGAATTTTCTGGGTGTCGGTTTATAATTCTGGAAGTGCTATAACGAGATGAGAAAAATTGATTCAAAAGTGCGTTCCTCGAAGGTTTCTTTTGTAGTTCGGATCTGCTTGTTAAAACTGACTTCTGGTTTTGCTATTAGGGAATATCTCAGAGTCTGAAGTCTGATGGAGATGACGTACTTCTTAGATGTTTTGTGAAGGAGAACGAGGAGTGCAGAATAGTGTTCATGAAGATATTGATTACATTCAGGAAAGAATAATCTCCCAGTGGAATTCACTCATTTCTCTGGCATTTGAAAATTTCAAAAAATAAAATGGGCATAATTGGATCGGTAGGTTTTCTATGAGAACGAGATTCTTGAGTTACAGAATTTTCTGGGTGTCGGTTTATAATTCTGGAANTTGTAAATTCATTTTCTAAGAGGAAAATTGATTCAAAAGTGCGTTCCTCGAAGGTTTCTTTTATAGTTCGGATCTGCTTGTTAAAACTGACTTCTGGTTTTGCTATTGGGGAATATCTCAGAGCCTGAAGTCTGATGGAGATGACATACTTCTTAGACATGTTTCGTGAAGGAGAACGAGGAGTGCAGAATAGTGTTCATGAAGAAATGAAGATATTGACTATATTCAGGAAAGAATAATCTCCCAGTGGAATTCACTCATTTCCCTTGCATTTGAAAATTTCAAAAAATAAAATGGGCATAATTCGATCGGTAGGTTTTCTATGAGAATGAGATTCTTGAGTTACAGAATTTTCTGGGTGTCGGTTTATAATTCTGGAAGTGCTATAACGAGATGAGAAAAATTGATTCAAAAGTGCGTTCCTCGAAGGTTTCTTTTGTAGTTCGGATCTGCTTGTTAAAACTGACTTCTGGTTTTGCTATTAGGGAATATCTCAGAGTCTGAAGTCTGATGGAGATGACGTACTTCTTAGATGTTTTGTGAAGGAGAACGAGGAGTGCAGAATAGTGTTCATGAAGATATTGATTACATTCAGGAAAGAATAATCTCCCAGTGGAATTCACTCATTTCTCTGGCATTTGAAAATTTCAAAAAATAAAATGGGCATAATTGGATCGGTAGGTTTTCTATGAGAACGAGATTCTTGAGTTACAGAATTTTCTGGGTGTCGGTTTATAATTCTGGAAGTGGTATAACGAGATGAGAAAAATTGATTCAAACGTGAGTTCCTCGAAGGTTTCTTTTCGCGCTGAAGAGTCTGCTTGTTAAAACTGACTTCTCATTTTGTTATTGGGGAATATCTCAGAATCTGGGGGAGATGCCGTGCTTCTTAACGAAGCTGAAACTAGCGAAAGATTCGACAGCAGAAGATTTATTTGTCTTAGGCGAATCTAGGGGTGTACAAATGTTTTTAAGTAATGTACAAACTCTTTCGCCCTTGAAAAACATTTGTAAATATGATCATTTGACTCTCCTACACTTGAATATCTCCTAAATTGAATTTTCCGCTGACGAATATTCTGCTAGTTTCAGCTTCATTAATTCCTACAAGGTTAATCATCGAGACTTTCGGATTCCCGATAAATCCTCAATACAATAATTGTTGGCTGCGGTAAAATAAAAATACGAGCGTATGATGAAATCCCCATCGATGGTCTCTCTTTCTCTCGAGGAAATAAAATTCACGATATTAACGACAATTCCTGCTTCTATGTCACATGCCTCAACACATTTCCCTCATAATTTCCTGACTCCCAACTGAGAAAAAAACCGTTGCCTCCGATACACGCCAAAGGGGAAAAGCTATACGCTTATGGTTTCAAATATTATCATAATCGTCATAACCTTTCCCCTCAAGAATGTACCATTTCCCTCCAGCTCACCAACAATTTGTCTTACGTATTCCTTGAAAAAAAAAACTTCCGCATGCGCTCCGACAAAACATTAAATAAAACTGCTGACACAATCGTTCCACTTCCCGAAGAAATTGCCCAATCACTCCGAAGAAATTCAGCGATGAATTGGCACTGAGATAAAAAAATTATTTCTGCCGAAAAATTATGTTCCGCTGAAGAGATCTTTTGTCGTGTTGAATCAATTTACTTGTGGACACGGATAGCCATCAATATGGGCCAATATGGACCAATATGGGGAGGTTGGGGTAAAACGGACACTTGACTTTTTAAAAAATGTTAATGAGGGATTGAAATGTTGATAAAATTTAACAATTTTTTTTTTCAATTCAAAGAACACTTCTTTCCCTTTGTGACGAGCCTAAACTGAGTTCAATTGATCAATTTGCTTCTGAGTTACGAATAATTTTGAAAAAGTCTAAAGTGTCCGTTTTACCCCACCCTTCCCTATATTTCTTCAATACTAAACGGATTTGTGGCTTGCATTGATAAAGTTTAAATATACTCATCAAAATTAAAAAATAATATAATATCAATAGTTTAAATTTCCGATTGATGATGAATTGAATATTTGATAATACAGAACCGTAATTTTTCTGTTAAGGCCCGGGTGGATTATCTTTCGAACGTCATCTCGATTGTTTTTCCATCTTCATAATCTAAAATATATCACAATTTCCATTGGATTTTACCTCACGCGGGAGTCCCTAACAATCCCTAACAATTATGATTATGAGTCCCTAACAATTCAGTAGCGAAGCGGTAAACCGGGTTAAGTCGATTTTGACTTTTGGCCAGTTTTTGATTAATATCTCGGAATCTAAGAGAGATAGCAAAATTTTTCTCACAACCTTTTTTATAACCCTTAATTGGCTCTACAAAAACGGTTATGACACAAATTTCTCCATCTCTTTTAGATTCCGAGATATCCGTCAAAAATTGGCCAATAGTCAGAATCGACTTGACCCGGTTTATCGCTTCGGTACTGAATTATAATTGTAAAATTAAAAAAAAGTAGAAAAAAATGAACATTTTCAAAGAGCGTTTTTAATAAAGATTAAGAAGTAAGTCCGATAGAGAGAAAATAGTGAATGGATAATTTATCATGGTAACTGACGATCTGACAGCCATTGACTACTGTGACAAATGACGACTTAACAGCCATTAGATACATCAAATTATTAATTTGCAATTTCCTCCCTATTGGGTTTATTTCCCAATATTATTCAAAAACGCTCTTTGAAAATGTTCATTTTTTTCTACTTTTTTGAAATTTTACAATTATAATTCAGTACCGAAGCGGTAAACCGGGTCAAGTCGATTCTGACTATTGGCCAATTTTTGACGAATATCTCGGAATCTAAGAGAGATAGCAAAATTTTTCTCACAACCTTTTTTATAACCCTTAATTGGCTCTACAAAAACGGTTATGACACAAATTTCTCCATCTCTTTTAGATTCCGAGATATCCGTCAAAAATTGGCCAATAGTCAGAATCGACTTGACCCGGTTTATCGCTTCGGTACTGAATTATAATTGTAAAATTAAAAAAAAGTAGAAAAAAATGAACATTTTCAAAGAGCGTTTTTAATAAAGATTAAGAAGTAAGTCCGATAGAGAGAAAATAGTGAATGGATAATTTATCATGGTAACTGACGATCTGACAGCCATTGACTACTGTGACAAATGACGACTTAACAGCCATTAGATACATCAAATTATTAATTTGCAATTTCCTCCCTATTGGG